TTGCAACTTGGGTTGCCTTTAAAAATTTACAAAAATAGGAATCGTGTAAACCTTAATATGGTTTAGTGTCGTGACAATAAAAATCGATTACAAAATGTGGAGACTTTCTACAAGTACCTGAAATCTAAATAAATATTGCAACTTTATAAAGTGTTTAAATGAACTATAAAGAAAAAGAAACTGAACACTTTATTCCGCTGACTTTCAACTTGCATTCAAATATAATCAAAATTACAAATGATCCCCTAAATTATTATCCAACCTCACTTTAAAACAGTTCTGATTTCTTTAAAGAAAACTAACTTCTCGCAAAATAATCGGTGAAACTGGAATATCAATCCTCTCTTCGGAATTTAAGGTACGTACTACTCTAGTTTTAATTTAATGATCATTAATATTTTTCAATTTATAAGGCCTATCGCAATTCTGTTAATTCATGAATTTTAATTTTCTCAATCTCAATGAAATTTCTGTACTCCAATAATAATTTATAACTCAAATTGTTTCTCTTACTCTCTGGAACAAATTCTGGATATCTCTGCTCTTCCAAAACACTGGAAACTGTGGAAAAACTAAATTTTAATCAGACGAGTTGAAAACACTCCCGGCCTATTCCACAGTTTCGGGGCAAGAGGTCTAAAATTAGCGTCGGCATCTCCAAAATAATTTTTTCCGTTGCTAACCGCAACCAACGTTCTTTTTTTCTTTTTTTCGTCTTCTATTTAAAATTTATTTAAACCATAAAACTGTCCTGTTCTGACACATTTGTCAAGCCACATTAATTTCTCATAATCACTTTAATCACATCTAATTTGGGAATATAAAAAAAATGTTCAGATATAAAACTTATTCTATTAATACAATTTATTCTTTTCATCTCCACATCATTGTAATTTCTTATTTAACAAAACCCCTATTAATTTAGCTCCCACAGACTTGCTTGACACTTTAAATAAATTTCCTTCATTTATTTTTTAAAATTTCTATGTTTAAATATTTTTTAAGAATTCTTCTTCTTTTTTTTAAGGTTTAGACGATTCACCTATACACTAGGCAACTATACTATTCAGAAATTATTAACACTATACCAGGTAAGTCAAAATTAATTTATTTAACAATTTACTAATCTTTTTCTCTCTTTTATTTCAGAGTCGACCCCACATTGTGATGGCTTCATGAAATTCATGAACAACAAACTCATATAAAAATCCATTTAAATTGTATCCTTTTTAACATATTGAAATCATTTCAATATGTTAGTGGTATACATATAAAGGGTTAGATCATTTCGGGGTTATCCGTCAATGACAGCATCTCATTTACGTAGCGGATATTATTTTATATAAAGCTTAATCTGCGTCGTTGAAATATAAATAAATTAAGATACAATGAAATATACCTTTAGTATTACTCCATGTCTTCTGTCCCAATGTTCAGCAAATTCGCAAATATCCAAAAGTAAGTATTAGACAGTGCAAACTCTCTCTCAAGATATTTGGGTATTTCCTTAGCAATTCCTAATAAAAAAATTGTTATAATCACTAAAAGATGATTGAAGAATCTTGAGGAATCGTCGAAATATGGCCTCTGCTCGCAATCGCAACGCCTGATTTTACTTATAACTAAGCTGTATACCAATATCACTGGATTATTATAATTAACTGACACCCTATCAAATAAATTTTACCAAAGACATGACATTGGGCAAGAATATACTATGCTACTGTCTTCACAATTATCTGTGAAGAACAAATTATAAAGAGAGCTTTTGAATAATGAGGAAAATAGCAAAAAAATAAATAATCGGTACTTCGTAGACAATACAGCTCTTCTTGCGAACTGCCAAGCAGACTTGAATAATCTTATATGACTGGTTCAAACTTAGAGCCAAATATTTGGTTAAAGGTCGCGGCATATTATCATGCACGTATATTTTCCGGCACGTAGCGTTTCCAGTCCAGCAATCGGACTGCACGTTCACATTTTTATACATAGAACGTTTCAGTTTATTTCGGTGAAGATATGATCTCGCTTGTCGCGACAAAAATTATGTGCAATTGCTCTTCTATTTAACGATGAAGAAAAAAAAACTGTAGTAAAAAGAAGGTTTAAAGTACATCCAATGCTAAGAAAAAGGAAAAAGGAAGGTGGATACTGGACTTTATACAAAGAATGAATTGATGACGATGAAAAATATTATGGATATTTTAGAATGAATAGGATTCAGTTTGAATATATTTTAAATTTAACTACACCTTTAGTTAAAAAACAAAATACTACATTTATTGAAGCCATACATATCAAATCAAACAGTATTTTTAAAAAAAAGAGATATTACTTCCGTGCAAAAGTCCTAATTGTTTATCACTTCCGTGATTAATTGTCACAAAGCAATGAAAACACATGCATAAATGACAAATAGTCTCAAAAATTATTTTTTTAAATATTCTGCTTTTAAGTCACACAAATACCTAAATAAACAAAGAGGAGAAAACAACGGACCCCTAATTCACATTATCCGTACCAACAGGTTTCGACTCGTTCCGTAGCTGTCGGCATCCGTAATATTGTTTTTGAATATACTGAAAAGAAACGTTAGGTGTCTGATACGCTACGTTCCTGGCAGTGTGAATTTTTCATATTTAAAACCATTTGAATTATATTTTTCTGAAACTAAACGCTACGGGCTGGAAACGCAACGTGCATGATAATATGCCACGACTTTTAAAGATAAATACATCGAAGATAAAAATCATCGTACTGAATAGGTACCACAACAATTATTCGCCCAATGATCAAGATTGACTGGTTTGACGTTATGAAGTATATTAATATGACTTTGGCAGAGCCAATTAGCCAGACTTGTTTGTTTTTATTGTTAAAATCGACTGAATTTTAATTATTATCGATTGCAGATTCATAGTCAAAATTTTCTTGTTATAAGTTATCAATGTTAGTACTACATATACCTAATATTTATACATAAATTATATTTTGATATATTTTTTTTGTTTTTTTTTTTATTCTTTTATTATCTTCTTGTTTTTGTTTTCTTTTTTGTTTTCTTTTCTTTTTTGTTTTGTTGTTGTTTGTTTTTTTTGTAGACTCAAGACACCAATCGAATATAATAAACGTCCGTACCAGAAGAGGAGGGGCAAATGCGGATTCTGATCACTACCTGGTCGAAAGTAGGAAGGGGCTAGAATTTCAAACATCAAAAAGGAAAGAGGCTCTAAACATGAACGATACAATATAGAAGGACTCAAAGAAACAAACAAAAATAGAGAGTACAAAGAAAATATAAGCATCAAACTAGAAAACAGACCAAAACATGAAAACCTAAATGAGGAGTGGGAAGAGTGCAGAGAAATCATAAAAGAAACAGCTAAAGACGTGTTGGGCATGGAAGGTAAAGAAAGAAGAACAAGAACGAATCACTGGTTTGACGAAGAATGTCAAACTATAACAGAAAGAAAAAACAGAGCATATCTACAGATGCAACAGAGGCACAGAACCCGACAAGCAGAGGAAGAATATAAACAACTACGTAAAGAAGAAAAGAAAATTCACCGAAGAAAGAAGAGAGAATATATCAACAAAGAACTTCAAGAACTACAAGAACTAAGTAAACCAACAGAGACAAGAAAATTTTACCAGAAACTCAACAAAAGCAGAAAAGAGTTCAAACCGAGAACAACGATGTGTAAAGATAAGGAGGGTAATATATTGACAGAACAGCAAGAGATACTTAGAAGATGGACAGAACATTTTAAGGAAAAGCTTGGGGTGAATAGGACGGAGATGAACCCTGATATACCATTAGACCAAGCAGACAACAGAGAAAAGAGTCCACCAACAATAGCAGAGATTAGAACAGCAGTGGACAAATTAAAGAACAATAAATCACCGGGATCGGATCAAATATCATCGGAGCTACTGAAAGAAGGAGGAGACGCATTACTTAAAGCCATACATGAGCTGATAAGAAAGATATGGTTGAATAAACAGCTACCAAAGGAGTGGAATAGCGGCATTATTGTACCACTACATAAAAAAGGAAACCAGTTAGAATGTGAAAACTACCGTGGAATCACGCTGTTGAATGCGGCATACAAAATAATGTCCAACGTAATGTATGAAAGACTTAGACCATACGCTGAAAAAATAGTTGGCAAATACCAATGTGGCTTCTGTAGACAGAAGTCAACAATAGACCAGATATTTGTTCTGCGACAGATCCTTGAAAAAACAAGTGAATATAACATCGACACACATCATCTCTTCATAGACTTCGAAAGCGCATATGACAATATAAACCGAGAATTCCTAACAAAAGCAATGAAAGAATTTAATATACCAACACAGCTAATAGAATTGATAAAAGAAACACTAAAAGTAGAAAGTAAAATCCGGATACAAAACGAATTAACGGAAACAATAGATGTGAAGAAGGGACTACGCCAGGGAGACGCTCTATCATGCATATTATTCAACATCATACTTGAAAAAATAATAAGAGACACAACAGTTAATACCCGAGGAACAATAATTAATAAAAGCGTGCAAGTACTAGCATTTGCAGATGATGTTGACATAATCGCAAGATCAAGAAGAGAAATGATAGAGGCATTCACTCAAATAGAACGAGCTGCAAAAAATAGTGGTCTTAAAATCAATCAGACAAAAACAAAATATATGCCTGCAAATAAAAACGCACAAATAAGGCAGCTGCCAAATTTAACAATAGGAGAATACAACATTGAGGCGGTAAAAAACTTTACATACTTAGGATCCCTAGTTACGTCTGATAACAACGTTGCAGAGGAAGTGAAGAGGAGAATATTTATTGCCAATAAATGTTACCATGGCTTAATTAGGCAACTAAGATCAGATAACGTCTCCAGAAAAACAAAATGCCAAATATACAAAACCTTAATAAGACCGGTACTCACATACGGTTCAGAAACCTGGACACTCTCTAAAAGGGAGGAAACGTTATTAGCCACCTTTGAAAGAAAAATCTTGCGACACATATATAAGGGCACAAAAGAAAACGGGATTTGGCGGAGAAGGTATAACTTTGAACTATACAACATATACCAGGATCCGGATATCATAACATTCATTAAAATAGGAAGGCTACGTTGGATTGGACATGTGGAAAGAATGGAAGAAGGCGAAATACCAAACAAAATATTCAAACAAGTGCCAGTAGGAAAAAGAACAAGAGGAAGACCGAAGCTGAGATACGTAGAACAAATAGAAAATGATATAACAACATTAAAAATTAAAAACTGGAAAAAAAAAGCACGAAACAGGTCAGAATGGAGAAGAATCCTTGAACAGGCCAAGACCCAAAAAGGGTTGTCGAGCCAGTGATGATGATGATGTTTTTTTTTTGTTTTTTTTTGTATTTTTTTTTTTTTGTTTTTTGTTCTATATCTATTTTCTTAATTCTTTTGTTTTTTTTATTTGTGTTATAATTTTGTTTGTTTTTTTTTCAAACCATATTAACAGATTATGCCTATATACTATTTACATCTTGTAAATATAAATCAATATTGCATCCAGAAATATAAATCAGTATTGTATAAATACAGTCATGGTACAAAAGGAAATACAATCTATTATCTATATTATGTATTATTTATATGATCTACCAAAAATCGATGTGATCGATATGAACAAGAAGAATACTTTTTAGTTTTTTGCGCCCCTCTCCCAAACTATCAGCGTAGACTAAGTTTATTGATATAATAATAATAATAATAAGACAACCTCTAATTAATTTAATTATTAAATTAAAAAAATTATATATAACACCAGCTTACGTTTCGAAATTGCCGACACCGAACCATCTAATAGTTTCTCCTTAGAAATAGCAGAACCAGGTTTTTTTTTCTTCTCTAATAGTTCTTCGTTGTCACCTGCACCTGAAAAAAAACCACTTTTTTGTTATCTAGGCAAAACCAAGTTATCTTTATTCGACTCCGACTTGGTCACATTTGCCAGACACATTTTTATCAAATCACAAGTGGCAACCACTCATACTGCAAACAGTGTCAAACAAATATTACAGTTAAACCATTGTTTAAAAAAGAATGAAAGAAAGAATTCTTTTTTAAATAATGGTACTTAAAACATATTTTAACCGAATGTCAAATATTTTAGGAAATGAGAAGTAATGATATCTGAGCTTCTTCTTTTTCTTCTTCTCGTGCCACTCCTAGCGGAGATTGGAAATCATCATGGCCACTGCGACTTTGTTAGCAGCGCGCCTGAAAAGTTCAATCGAACTACACCCGAACCATTCACGTAGATTACGAAGCCACGATATTTTTCTTCTTCCCACACTTCTTTTGCCCTTAATTTTGCCCTGCATAATGTTTCTTAAAAGTTCGTACTTTTCACCTCTCACAATGTGCCCCAAGTATTCCATCTTTCTAGTTTTTATCTCATTTAGAATTTCGCATCTTTTGTCTAAAGTTTGGAGTACTTGCGTGTTAGTGACGCGGTCCATCCATGATATTCTGAGAATGCGCCTATAGCACCACATCTCGAAAGCTTCGATGTTTTTTATGGTCAACTGTTTTAGTGTCCAAGCCTCAACTCCATATAACAGGGTAGAAAAGACATAACACCGCAGCATTCGTATTCGTAACTTTATATTGATATCACGATTGCAAAAGAGTTTGCGCATTCTATTAAAGACTGATCTAGCGATTTCTATTCTACATCTAATCTCTTTTGTTTGATCAGTATCGTCTGTGATCCAAGCACCTAGATATTTATAACAGGGCACACGCCCAATCGTTGTATTGTCTATTACAAGATTAGCTCTGATGTTCTTTGATTTCGTGATTACCATAAATTTAGTTTTTTTCAAATTAATTTTCAAGCCGTAACTGTTACAGTATATATTGAGACTTTGAACGAGATATTGTAGTTCTACTAGCGTTCCCGTTAGGAGAACTGTATCGTCAGCACACCTTATATTGTTGATCGTCTCACCATTTATTATCAGACCAAGATCTTCTTCCTCAAGTGCTTGTTCACAGATAGCTTCACTATACAGATTAAATAAAAGTGGCGATAAGATACATCCCTGCCGGACTCCTCGACGGATTTGAATTTTCTTCTGTTAGTCTGCCCTCAACCTTGACATTTGCTGTTTGATTCCAATATAGATTGCATATAATTCGAATATCTCGGCTGTCTGTATTTTTCTTTATTAGAACTTGTCTTAGTGGAGCTTCTTAGAGACCATCAAAATCTAAATTACATCATAAACAACAGCTTTAGTTATAAAAGGCATTTAAATTAAAATTTTAATTAAAAGATATAAAAACACCTTCAAGCTAGAAGAGAAGATAATTGATGGGTCAAGAATAATTTAATAGGGAGTTCAACCTGCAATAACACTACACATCAATAGCAATAATCACAAAGACACTCAACAGCAGATGGAGAAATAGAATCTTCAGCCAACAGAATGGCTAAAATCTGAGTTTTTTGCAATTTCGAAAAAAAAAACAGGAGCCCAGAAATACTGTTCCCCTGAAGGTAATAATAATACTGTTCCTAAAGGTAATCCATAAAATAATTTACAAGCTCTGTGACTCGAATTTTCCCCAGCCAGTTTTCATAAAATCTGTGAGTGCAAGAGAGGCTCTGTTCTCATTACTAGTCTTATTTTAAAGCTGCAAAGACGCCTGCTTGTCAGCTTGATAACAATAAATTGTTTAATTGCGTAAAGCACATTAAGATCATGCAAATAATAAAAAAAAGACAGAAATTAGCAACAAAGATCTCAGAACAATTATTATAAACCTTTATTGGAATCAAACAAATCTCAGAAATATGCGTGGAGTCAAGCAAGGCTGTATTTTGTCTCATATAATTTTCAATCTCTACTCTGAAAGAGTATTTGGCGAAGCTCTGCACAAAATTTAGAAAGGCATTCTAACACACGGGTAGGTACCGATTGAACAACATCATATATGCAGATGAACCATTGCAATTACCGACAACGCATAAAATCACGTACCACAATTAACAATACGGAATCAAAACAAACGTAAAGAAAACAAAGCTTATGATAATAAGTAAGAAAAGGGTGAGTAAGAAACAGAATGTCAACTAAAATGAATTTCGATTTACATTTTTTATTCGATCGAGCGAATTACAAAAAAAGTAAACAAATTTTACCTTTATCACGGATATTATCAGCACTTTTTGTTTTCCTATTTTTACCAACTTTGTTAATTTTACTTTTACTACTTTCTGGCCTAGATTTTTCTCGACTATGTTTTGTATCTAGATCTGCAACAAAAAATGTTGATATTTACACTGCTTGGCAAAAACCCACATATTTTTATATTCAGAGTACATTAATGATCAGAAAAATAAAAATCTTACGGTTTTTGCGTTTTTCTCGGGCCATCATTTCCTCTAAATGCTTCTTGTATCTTATCTCAGTTTCATTGTTTATATAATCTTCCAAAGTGAGAGAAAGAAAAATAAATATAATACAATTTAGATTTCCAATCCATGTAACAGAACTTCCATGGCTAGTAAAGGATTGGCAAGAAAAATACTGTTCAAGCTTTCAATTACTATCGTTGGTTTCATTTTTTCTAATTTGACTTTTAGCAAATTCGCAAATCTAAAAATATATTTGTGGTACAAATTGATTGAATAATTTAAACAAATGTCAGAAAGGAAAAAAATAATATGATTGTTGATGTGGACTTTCAATATGTTGCGTTAAGCGTACGAACAAAGGTAAAAGCCTTTATCTTTCAATCTGATCAACAAGAGTGATACCACTTGACCTCATTTTTACACTTAATAAAGGTTATAAAGGTTATAAAGGGAGATAAAGGGGTAGAATGCGAATACATGGAGTTGATTTCCAGTTTACTCCAACTAGCCTCTTCTGCTCGAATCCGACTCTCACCTTCACGCTGATGTCCCCTGTTAACTGAGCAACCCAGCTGAAGATCCGGTATCCAACCCGGTGTAAAAGTTGGGTCGGGAACTGACAAGAGCGGGTGTAATGACCCTTCGGAAAAGGAAGTTTGGCATTGGGTTAACTTCCCAACCCGGTAAAACCCCACAGTTACGAAATCGAAAGTCAAAAATGCCGGACGGAAATCTCGACGACGACTTACTTATGCAACGAAATAAGGTCCTGAATAATCGAAATAATGATCTTAATGTATTTACCTGGAACGTTCGCACACTTAACGAACCTGGAAACATCCGCAAACTGTGTGACATATTAGAACAATATAATGCTGATATAACTGCAATACAAGAAGTACGATGGACAGGCCTTGGCATAATGAAAAGAGCAAACTACAATATACAGGGTGGTCCTTAAGTAATTGTACAAAAAGAAACCGTAAATTCTGCACTTTAAAATATTACGATTTAAGTCAAGTTCCTTTAATAATATGTTAATATTAAGAAAGATACAGGGTGTTAAAGTGGAAATTTAAAATTTATATTTTTCGCCATAACTTTCATGTTTGTAAACATTTATGTATAAAAATTTACAACTGGGTACTAATAAATATTAGAAATTATAATTTGATGTATACGTTGATGTAGCTGATAGACGGCGCCACATATGTGGCATACATTTACACTTAACTTTTTTGCTCTTCCGGTTACCGGGTATTTTTAATAAAAAATATTAAAAATTATTAAACATTAAACAAACTACCAGAACAAGGCGCCTTAATATTAAACTCCTGAAAAATCCGCAAACGGTAAAAAGGTTTCAAAACTATATCGAAACTAAATACATAACTAAAGAGAATCTAACAATTAGTGAACAATGGGAAATGTGTAAAGATTATATTAAAGATGCAGTAAATAACATTCTAGGGTCGCAAAGACCACCACCATGCAATGAGTGGCTCAATGCTGAGTGCGAGGACATTACAAGAAGAAAGAACAATGCACATAAACTGATGCAGCAAAGAAAAACCCGAGAAGAAGAACAAAAATATAAAGATCTCAAAAGAGAACAGAAGTAGATCCATCGAAGAAAAAAGTGAACTTATGAAAATACAATATTGGAAAAACTATATAGTGTCCTAAGAAATAAATTGTATGAAGTTATGAATGAATTCTACATTCCCGATAAATTGATAAGATTGATTAAAGCTACAATACGTAAAGTTGTTTGCAAAGTCGAAATACAGGGCGAACAATCACGGGCATTTGACATAGCTCTTAAAAAGGCGGTCAGGGATGCCCAAATAGACAATAAAGGAAACATTTTTAATAAATCATCCCAAATTGTGGCATATGCAGATGATGTTGACGTAGTTGCCCGCACAACACGCATACTAGAAGAAATGTATACCACCTTGTCAAATGCCTCAAAAATATGGGACTTCAAGTAAATGCGGAGAAAACTAAGATAATGGCATTAAGACCCAACAATAAAGTCAGAAACATGAGCCAATAATTCACTGTTGATAACTCTACCTTTGAAGTGGTGGACAAATTCACATACTTAGGCTTCCTGATCACCAAGTATAACGTCATGACGGAAGAATCAAGCGAAGAATAATCCTAGCAAACAAATGCTATGTTGGATTGAGTAGACGTATGAGAAGCAGAAATTTAAGCCAAAACACAAAAATAACCATATACAAAACCCTTATACAACCAGTTTTAACATATGGATCGGAGACATGAACCTTCCCTTGATGGAAACTTCCTTCTTATATAAGAACGGAGGATCCTGAATATTCGGTGTCATCTGTGAAAATGGTGTTTGCAGAAGGAGGGACAACTATGAGATATATGACAGATATAAATATATATTTGGTGGTAAAGACGTAGTATCTCTTATAAAAATAGGAAGACTAAGATGAGCAGGACATCTGGCAAGATCACAGCAGAACAACCCTCCTAGAAGAATCCTTATGTCACAACCTGTGGGAAGTAGAAGTAGGGGTAGGCCAAAACTCAGATGGAAGGATGGTGTAGATGAGGATGGTAGAAAGATAGGCGCAGCAAACTGGCAACGGTTGGCAATGGATAGGACTGCCTGGCGTAATAGACTTGGGAAGGTCGAGGCTCTTTTATAGGGCTGTAGCACCAATGATGATAAAAAATTATATTAGGTCTAAAAATTCATCAGAGGATAATATACTATAAGTACTTTTAATTAGTCTTTAAATAGTAATAGCAACTTCAGAAAAAAATGTGCTTTAAGCTTAAATTATTTAAGCTACAAGATAAGGGTGCTAAATGAGGGTAAATAGTGAAACAGTAGCCATATATCGCAGGTTATCTTATTTCTGTATAGTTTAGATAGTAATAAATAGGGAGTAATAGTAATACTACCCTTGCTGAATCATATCTATTTCAGATCTAAATTTTACGAAAGTATAAAAAGAAGTCTTCGATTTTAAAAACAATATTCTGGAGTATTGTTCAAGAGGTCAATATTTAAAAATAAGATTTACCAAGTAGATGAACTAAAAGTATCACATTATCAACGCTGCTAACTAGGCTACTAAAATCTAGCAATGCTGTCAACAAATAACCTATCTGTCTAAGCAGTGATATTACTAAATTAGCAATGAAGCATTCTGTATCATCTAGCCTGCTTTATTATCATATACTAGATATGAGCATTTCAAAATGGAAAATTATGCTTGGCCTTACACATTTTTGAAAACGTTTATCTAACCAATAACCTAATACCATAGGGTCATATATGACCCTTGAAGTTGTGGCATAAAGTAGTTATGTTCAGTTGGTGTGTTAAAGAATAAATAGCAAAATATATGGGACTAGAGTCAGTCCCCTTTTTGAACTACCGATTTTTCTTGTAAGTGTGTAAATATGAATGAGGACACACAATTAGGTTTTTTTTAAGGTTTGTGGGTCATAGAAGCTCTATTCTGGTCAAAACTCTTGATTCCAAAGTGCTACGATCAACTACAGAATGTTTTAAATGTTATGTATATATTCTTTGAATTTGTCATACATTTGATATAATATGTATTTGATAAACATACATATTATAAAATGATATTTATTGTGTAGGTGTATAGTATTTGTTGATTCAATTATTAATTGTTACTACGTAAAGTCATAATTATCTTTATAAAGAGTACATTGCTACTGTCATCGTCTGCTAGCTTGGCGGTGCGCACAAACCCAAAATATCTTAGTGGCTTAGGTGGTGTTCTTTAGTCACCTCCCAGTTATCAGGTGCGTAACACTTAAGTGATTTGCGGCTATTATTTTTCAGACTTTTAATATTTCGGATATTTAAGTGTATTTGTGACAATTTCTCAACGATGGCATTGAAAAAATAGTAGAAAGAATTATTCTGATATTAGTGGACAATCTCGGGAGATTATATTTAATGTGTTTAATTATTTCAAAAATATTAAACTCGAAGCAGAGACCCTAAAAACTGTGAAAGAAAAGACAGCTAAAGCAACAGGTAAGTTTGTACTTACAATAAATTAATTTTAATTAGACCGACTTCTAAATAATAACAAAACCGCACTACGGTGGTCTATTTGGACCAAAAAAATACTCTTTATTTTTATTTCATTTTAATTATCTATTATTTTTAAAACACAATAGTTCTATTTCTATTTATAAGGCATTTTCTTCCCACTGGTGGAAATATTTTTGTTTGTTTATGTCTACCTTGTATTAAATAAAAATAGATCAAAAATAGGTGAATATTTGACATACTTAATAATGTTGACACCTTACCACAGTTACAAAAAAATTTAAATTATTCGTTATTTTACAAAAAATGAATCCAGAGTTCAGCAAAATTCTATTACACATAAAATACAAAAAAATTAATCACGTGGATAGTTTCTTAGGTTTTTTAGCTGGATACACACGTCCACAGCGAGCTACAATATGATACATGTATATTTCAAAATTTCGGGTTTCCCTTTTCGTACAATATTTTCAATGCCCTCTTTTACCTATGAAAAAAAAACCTATGACAAACAAACAAACCTATGATTTGTTGACAAACCTATGTATATATGCCAAACCTATGGCTTATTTTTAAACCAGGAGGAATAATTCAAATTTACCTTTTATTTTTTTTTACCTTTAATAAGTTTATAATGCTATAATATTTATGGATTACCGTCGAAGGCCGTCATGATCAACCCAAAAAGAAGATATAATATATTTGCTGATTTTTTCTAGCGTCTTTCTTGGCTGTGAAACTTTTTAGGTTACTCCTCCTGGTTTAAAAACAAAACATAGTGGAGGATTAGGTTGATTTTGTGTCGGTAATTCCAGATTATTGCATAACAGTTTGTCGAATATGCGACAGATTCCAGCACAGAGTTTTCTTCTTCCGAAGATGCAGATGAAGAAAATTATTAACAATCAATTTATTTTCAAATAGATACCACTTTTCAACACGGGTACTTGTTTTAGTGTTATAATAAAACCAAAATATTAAAATTAAATAATTACTGTGTTGCATTTATTTATACAATATCCTCCATTTAATTTGAAACACAATATCAACGTAGATTTGTGAATTAAATTCAGTCATTATTGTATAATTTGTTTACGAAGTTACTAAACTACTAATAAATATTATAAACCAATGGCTTACTATTTAAATTGAATAAAACAAAATTACAATTTCATCTTTCTAATAATATATTAAAGCTTGCGAAAAATATTACTTTTTTTAATTGTGTAATAATTATTTGTCCTATACCGCTACGCTACTGATATATACTTATCAGAAATAGTAAACCAATAGGAAGAAATCATAGGGCGTAAACATAATTTATTTCTCTGTGACGTAGTGCGTACTTTCTCGCCAAGTTAGCTGGCGATGATTGTATATCACATAAAACCTTAAGTAGTCGGTAAAAGGTACAATTATTGTATATCACATAAAACCTTAAGTAGTCGGTAAAAGGTACAATTATTATAACAGTACTACGGTCTAAAAGGTGCCATTGGAGAAAGAGAAAAATTTTCTTACAAACGTTTTTAGCTTTTCCAACGTCATTTCGGTAATTGGGTTCACTTAGACTAGAACATTGTTGCCTTTTTTGTAAAAAATAAGTAGCTTTGCTCTACTGTTATGAACTATGCAGCTTAATGACCAACTGGCAAATTTCTTTGATGATAGAGCAAGCAGCGAGTTTTGCAGGTAAACATTCAAAGCAAAGAGCGAATTCTGCAAATAACTGTAATTTTTCTCGACATCATTTTTGTATACTAAAGAACGAGTTTTGAGAAATTCTGATTATATCATTCAATTTCCACTTAAAATTGAAATAAACTAAAGAAATAATAATTTTCTAAACTGTTGTGGATTAGCGAGTTTTGCAAATAATAGGTTCATTTGAAGATTTCGGCATCTCTTGCTTTAGTACCACTTGCTCTTTTATTTTGTTTATCCACATTACGGCTTTTTTTAGAAACATTACAAACCTAGAAAAGAAATACTACAACAAATGTATGGTTTGCATTGTTATATGATAAAGAAACCTGGTCACTAATTAAAAACATCAAACCGCATTGAATCATTCGAGTTGTGGATGTTGCCAAAATCATTTAACATTTCGAGGTCGAAGCGTACCCATTATCAATGAAAAAATCTTGGAAAGAACAAACTCAAAGGGAGCTACCAAATAAAGTAAACTGCCGTATTTTCCATTTGTTCAGGTGTTGATTGAGAATTTGAGGTAAACACCATTCATAGCTGCACAACGTCTGTGTCTGGTTTGGAATTTCCAACATATTTGAGCAAATCAGAAAATAACACTCATAATGTTTATTTACTGTACATTACATACGTTACTGAAGCAAATTATGACTTGAAGATATTCATAGAATTAATGCTTTTTCCGTAGTACACGGAAGGGAAAAGAAAAAATAAACCATAAATCAAATAGATGTATTAAAATAGTTTTTACATAATGAAAAACAATAATAATTAATTATGCTGTATACAATGAAAATTCTATATTTAAACAATTTTTAAAAATAAAAACAAAAATTTTCACACACGTCAGGGATAAAAATCTAACACGTTAATCCAAAGAAAAAACTAAGTTTTCCTATTATATTTAAGAAACAAGCGCTTGTTATAAATTAGAAACAATATTAAAAAGGGATAATAACAAAAATCAAAATTAAAGCTTACGTTTGAGGATGAATGTCCAGAAACGTTGAACCTGAATTTCCACGTGCTGTTTTCCCGCTCTTGGTAGACTTCGAGCTTTTACTCGCTTTTGTGCTTGATTTGTCTCCATTTGATTTATTACTCTTAAAAAAATAAAATAAATTTTAATTTATAAATTAATAATAAAATAAATTTTAATTTATATTTTTTTAACATAGTACGACTAAAATACACTTGAGTACAAAACAATCAACACAAAAGCGATATTTGAGATTACACTTTCTGTTTCAATGTAAGAAATATAAAAATAGAAACATGTAATGGATATTCCAATGATTTTAATACGAATAACTAAAAAACAAAGCGTTTTATTGAAAAATCTATAAAAAAAATAAAGCTTATAAAAAAATAAAAAAGAGACTGTTTTTTTATTAAGTTTTATAAGTGCAATACTAAGCGATTTATAATTGTTTAAAGATAAGTCATCTTTCATTTTTGGGATACCATTACATTTGGGATACCTCGATGCATTTAACATCAAATATCGGAAAATGGACATCTTTTTTGATAAAAACTCATACAACACTTTTTAAAGAGCTAGAAAAACCTTTAAAATGAGCTACGTTTAAAAGCCATTTCGATTAAAACAAAGCGAAATACGAAGGAAAGAAATTTGAATTACTCTAGCGTTGAAAAAAACTAGCTGTATAAGTAACACTATTTCGATCATAATTGAAATTAAACGTATATCTTCTACAATTCATTTTTTTTTGGTGTTATTTATAAGTTTTAAAAGTTTAGCCTGTTTAAAATGCGTATTTTTTGAAAAAATCATGTTTTAATTAAAAAATCTTTTTTTTAATTACCTAAAAATTTACATTTTTTCAAAATAAATCTAAAACTATAAGAGATGGTGAAAAATGGTTCTATACCAAAATGTAGTTTTTTTTCTTACCAAAAATTTTAATTTTTTTATTTTTGTTCTAGCTCGAAAAATAATAGAGATATTATAGTCAATTGAAGTTTGAGATACAGCGGCTGACACACTTGTAATCAGCACTTTGGCCCTTTAAAAAGAAAGAATTTTATCATATTTTAATCTACTTAGTCTTGTAGCTTTTGAAATTACCTTCAAAATATTTTTTAATGGACACTCTAGCTTAAAAATTAACCAAGTTATTCTAAAAAAATTTTGGAGCATTTTATTTACATTTTGGAGTATCAACTTATTTTCTGTATATATAAATGCTTTATTCAAGTATATTCGAAAAACTGGTAACAGACACACTAACACACACACAAATATGTATATAATACATACATACATACATAGATACATACATATATATATATATATATAATATATATATATATATAATATATATATATTACTCCTTAAAAATAAAAAGCTCACCTAGCGCATATATAACTTTTGAAGAGGGAGGTAAGATAAGCCTAACTCCAATTTTTTAGCAAAATCGATTCAGTTATAAAAAAATTAGAGATAATGACCTCCTTTCCTCCACAGTGACTGGAGTACTCTGCCAGGCACGAAAACCAACTCGGTTTTTTCATCCATGAAAATGCCTAATCCTACTGGATCCTACTTTCTTCGGAGAATAATATATGACTCCATTGATAGTCGTTCCAAAAAAGATGTTTGCGAACAAATTCTACTCGCCTTTGCTCCTGGACTGCAGCTAGCTTGAAACCCGTACTGTCCTTTTTGATGTCAGGTTGGCTGCCTTTAGTCTCCTTCTGACTGTCCAAACGCTAGTAACCACATCGCGGACCTCTCTAAGCTTTTCTTTTACCAGTATCTTGGTACCTACGGTACACTCGGAATTTAGCAGATTGGCTTAAATTTAGTCTATTTTTCACGGCCCTCTGGCTCAGATCTGCTCTTAATAATGCTACTGTTTGAGCTGCTTTGACGGAAGTGGTATCCATTTGTAATGCAGTTGCGAACTTAAGTGACTAATGTATTACTGGGTTGCTATGGAAATTGATGCGTACGATGTTAACCGAACGCGTTAAGTCGGTGCGTGTCGATTTCAATTAATCAAATTCTGATCCCCACTTCACGTGTTGCATTATTTATTTGTAATACGTTATTTGATTCACCAAAAAACAAAACTTTTTTAAAACTCTACTACTACTATCGGTTTACAGCGTTCTCCGACGCCTTCCGACTCCTAACCGCCATTCTTCTCTATTCAACCATAGGTCTAAAGGGATTTCTCTTTCCTCTAGTTCTTTTTCAATTCTCTCTCTCCAGCTTCTTCTCGGTCTTCCTCTTTTCCTTCTCCCTTGTGGTGTTCACGTCAAAATCTGTTTTGGAATCCTGTCATCTGGCATTCTCTGTACATGGCCGTACCATATTAACTGTTTTGTTTTTATGGCATCAACTATTGTATGCTTGACTCCCATCATTTCTCGTATTCTCTCATTTGGTATCCGATCTCTTCTTGATTTGCCTGCTGCTCTTCTCCAGAAGTCCATTTCTGTTGCTAGTAACAGTTTCTCTGTTCTTTGTTTCATTGGCCAAACTTCACTGCCATATGTGATTACACTTTTAAGTATGGTGTAGTATATGAGTTGTTTGTTCGCTTTAGATATTGTTTGGTCCCACAGAATGCCGTTCATCAGAGATATGGCTTTTCTACCCTGTATGTTTCTGTCTTTTATAGCAACATCGAGTGTTCCATCTTGAGTTATCTTCATACCCAAGTACTTGTATTCATCACAGTTTCTAATTTCTACCCCATCGTCTAATATAATGGATTGTTTTGTCCCTCCAATACACATGGCTTTAGTTTATTAATGTTGACATCGAGACCCAATTTGTTATATTCTTCTATTAGCTTTCGAGTCATGTAACTCAAGTCGTCATGATCCTGGGCAATCAGTATTTGGTCATCAGCGAAACATAAGGTGTACAGTGTAGTCTCGTCATTGAGAGGGATTCCCATGCCATTATATTTTCTGTTCCATAGCTTGAGTGCTTGTTCCAGATAAATTTTGAAAAGGGTAGGCGTAATACACCCACCCTGCTTTAGTCCTTTCGTGACCTTAAATCCTTCAGATATCATTGATCCAGTTTTAACGTTTGCAGTCGTCCATTATACAGACTTTGGACTGCTTTGATAAGACCATGCTTAATGTTGGTTTGCTGTAGGGTTGACCATAGTTTACTTAGGGGTACACTGTCATTTTGGCCTTTTTGGGCTACACATGGCTTTTTGTAAGTCTACGTACACCAGGTGAACTTCTTTATTGAAGGCTGTTTTCAGCCTTCAATTTAAAACTCAATGAGGTTAATAATTTTACACCAAAGATTTTTAAATTTACACTGTTGAAATTTATATAATTTTTAGTCGATTATTTTGCACTCAAGTGTATACCTGTATTGTGTAAGTGTATTGTTTTTTATTTTATCAACTTGAAATGTGGGCGCGTCCGTGTGTGTTTGTGAGTCTTAAAAACATTTTATCAGAAACACCGTTAATATCTACGTACTTCTTTACTTTTTACGTCATCCGCAGATTTTGAACGCTCATTTTTATTTCCCTTTTGCTTATCTTTCTTACCACTCATCTTGTCCTTATTTTTTTTGCCGATTTTTTTCCCATCCAATATTGTCTCAACCTTCTGAGCTAACACGTCATACTCGTCTACAATAAATACCATGTTTTAAGCAAATAAGTATATTCATTAGTTTTAAAAAATGATTTATAGATTTTTGGTCCAGTCGTCAGAGATTTGACCTCTAAAAATTATACAAATCAGCTGAATTTTGCCGAGCATGTCAATATTGGAACCCCAAAACAGATGCTAAAGAGTTTACCACTTTTACCCCAAGATTTCCTCAAAACTAGCTTGTAGGTGGTGAAAACCCGAAAAAATGGATTTACCAACAATCTGTACACCGTAGGGATGGGAAAAACCTACCGGTTTTAACCGAAAACTGGTTTTTTTACTTCGCAATAACCGGTTTTACCGGTTGTTTTTTTTTCCCGGTTATAACCGGTTTTTTATTTTTTAAGTAAAAACCGGTTATTAGGTTTTTTAGTTTTGTTAGTATTATTTAGGTATTATTTTGGATTCCAATCATAATTATTATTCTCAAGTAATTATTCCAAACAAAACCATAATTCAAATTTTATTTTATTTTATAAATACAGAAGCAAACTGAAAGTGCAAACTCATATCAGCCAGAAACAATTAAGTCTTATTATAATATTTCGTTGAAAAGGTAATTGTAATCATAATCGTAAAATAGTTTCGAAACACAATTCAGATTTCTGCTTTATAATCTGAGCCTTCTAAGAATTGCAAGGCAAACAGACGTTGATAAAAGATGTTAAAAGAGACATGGGGAATCTAAAATTTGCATTCCACGACATGTCTTTTACAACTAAGCAAAAATCCTTAGCGAATTGTGTTTCTCGTACTCCCACAGAGCATATCCGAAATAAAATGAGAAAAGGCAGCAAATATGTGATTTCACGCAAACAAATCCTATGTATCTCTTGATACGTATTTCGACCTAATAGGTCTCGTCAGAAGAGCTATTCATACGGCTTCTCAACGTGAAAAATCAATATTTTCTGCCTTTTAAGAAGCAACAATAACATGGCTTCAATACGGACGCAGTAGCGACATCTAATTAAACAATCGTAAAATAGTTTCGAAACACAATTCAGATTTCTGCTTTATAATCTGAGCCTTCTAAGAATTGCAAGGCAAACAGACGTTGATAAAAGATGTTAAAAGAGACATGGGGAATCTAAAATTTGCATTCCACGACATGTCTTTTACAACTAAGCAGAAATCCTTAGCGAATTGTGTTTCTCGTACTCCCACAGAGCATATCCGAATAAAATGAGAAAAGGCAGCAAATATTTGATTTCACGCAAACAAATCCTATGTATCTCTTGATACGTATTTCGACCTAATAGGTCTCGTCAGAAGAGCTATTCATAGGCTTCTCACGAGACCTATTAGGTCGAAATACGTATCAATAGATACATAGGATTTGTTTGCGTGAAATCAAATATTTGCTGCCTTTTCTCATTTTATTCGGATATGCTCTGTGGGAGTACGAGAAACACAATTCGCTAAGGATTTCTGCTTAGTTGTAAAAGACATGTCGTGGAATGCAAATTTTAGATTCCCCATGTCTCTTTTAACATCTTTTATCAACGTCTGTTTGCCTTGCAATTCTTAGAAGGCTCAGATTATAAAGCAGAAATCTGAATTGTGTTTCGAAACTATTTTACGATTGTTTAATTAGATGTCGCTACTGCGTCCGTATTGAAGCCATGTTATTGTTGCTTCTTAAAAGGCAGAAAATATTGATTTTTTACGTTGAGAAGCCCTATGAATAGCTCTTCTGACGAGACCTATTAGGTCGAAATACGTATCAAGAGATACATAGGATTTGTTTGCGTGAAATCAAATATTTGCTGCCTTTTCTCATTGTAATCATAATATTTACATAAAAAGTGATCTGGTACATTACATATTTTTCACATTGGACTCTTGACATTGAAAGTTGGTGAATGGCTTTTTCTGATTACCAAAAATAATAATATTCTGACTATGAATATCGAATACCGAATACGAATACGAATCTCCAAGGAATTCGCTACGTTTTCAAAACAATACAGGAAGTATTAAATGATTTAATGTATATACCTATTAAACAAATATACAAACGTGTTAAAAGTTATACATGATAAATTTTTTTTTGATGGTAGTAAAAATATAAGATAAAATTTATTTTTAAGTAAAATATTTATCTTAATATTATTTTTTTTAAATCCATTAAGTCTGGGAAATTTTTTAGAGGATTATATTTTCAAAGGATTAAATTAAATTAGCATCTTTTAACTGAATACAATAATTGCATATTATATTCTATACTCATAATATATTCAATGACAATAGAACCTGAATTATTTCAGCGCTCTCTGTTGAGCAGTATTATAATAATTTTGGTTTTGGTTTACTGTTCTCTACATCTGACTACTGAAATTCACAAATCTTTGGGATTCACACAAATCAAATGTAATTTCGATCCAAGTAATCAAGTAATTCCCATGACGACATTGAAGACTAGTTATACATTAGGAGTGCCTAAATAAATCTATTAACAACGCCGTTTTCTTTTCATCTTCAAGTTTCGAACTTTTCATTTTTACCATGTCGAAATCGTTTGTGTGGAATTTGTTTTCCAAGCGTAGCAACATGAGGCACAGTGCTCTATTTGTTTGAAAATATTAAAACCAGGAGGAGGCACGACGAATTTGAGGCAGCACCTAAAAAATAAACATCCAAAATATCTGGAAAATAAGCCAAAGGTAAGCTCATTTCATAGAAAAATTTAAGTAAAGGAATTAATAGGGGAATTTTGTTTTTGCTTAGGATAAAGAACTGGCGGACATCATAACTTTTTTGCATAGAGGCGATCAGGAAGCATCTTCATCTGCTTCTGAGGCGAGTGTGAGCTCTGCTTCATTTTACACATATTAAATTTAGTTGTCACAGATTGCCTAGAAGATATAAACAATGTAGCATTAAAAAATGTAATAAACGAAATAAAAGCCATAGTCACTTTCGCTAGGCACAGCAATCTCTTCATGGAAAGGTTACGGATGGAGCAGGAACGGGAGGGCAAGTCAGAGGGTGAAGTGAAGCTTTTGGTACAATCCGTACCAACCAGATGAAATTCTGTCTACCATATGCTTAAAAGATTCACACTAATGTCCCCATATATAGCTGCAATACTGGCAGATCCCTCGATTAAAAAAGCACCAAGGATGATTTCTGGTTCAGATATAAAACTAATCACTGAAATTGTAACAATTTTATCACCTTTTGATGAGGCCACAAAGGAGATCTCGGGTTTTCAGTACATTACTAGTCTTGTTATTCCCCTTGTGTCTATTATCGAAAGATCTTTAAAAAACCTTAAGCCAAATCTTAATACAGCCCAAAAGTTATGCCAAAAGCTTATAACTAACCTTCAAGAGAGGGGCACTAAGCTTTGACGAAACCCCCTGCTTTGCCATGCACAATCACGGACCCTAGGTTCAAAAAACTATATCTGAATCCGTCTATAGCGGAGACAGTCACATCCAATTTAGGCTCGGAAGTAAGGACGTACCTTACCGAAATCGGAAAACTTTCTCCTTTCTGCTCCTTCCAGAATAAAGAAGCCAAAGTGAGTTTAAAATCAAACCCTCTTTGGTCTTCACACGATCTGGAGTTGGTGAACAGTGGTTCCAGTTCAAGTTCTCAGGACACACGGATTCAAAGTTCTTTTCCAAATGAACTGACTCTATATCTGCAGCAGCCTTTGCTGTCGAGATTAAGTGTTCCGTTTTCATTCTTGAGCAGCACAGAACCTGTATGCCAGGCTTGGCTTTTATAGCTAAAAAATACATGTCGTTGGTCGGAAGATCGGTGGCATCAGAGAGACTGGTGTCATCATTGAATGATATTGTGTCAGATGATAGAAGCCGCTTAACCGACCAACATATATATGAACGAGTTTTTCTCAATAGGCTTCATGAAAAATATTGGCTAACAAAATCTTAAATACATTTCATATAATAGGTAAGGTAACATATTTGTTACCTTCAACCTATACTTTTTTACTTAAAATATTACTTCATTCTACTTATACTTTAATCTTACGCTATATTATATTTAATGATAAATCAATAAATATATAATAATAATAAAATAATAAATAAATATAATAATTAATATAATAAAATGGTTTTATTAAAAATTGTGTTTTATTTATATTGATAGTGATGTTCTTTCGATAATACTAATTTTGATCATATTGATATCGAGTTGAATGAAGTATCGCAAACTAAAGTGCATTGTAAATGTAACTTTGTAACCTATGATTAAAAAACCGAAACCGGTTTTTGGAAAAACCGGTTTTTTTTCCGGTTATAACCACCAGGTTAAACCGTAAGCAAAAAAAAACCGGTATAACCGAAAATCGGTGTTTTAGTCAAAAACCGCCATCCCTAGTACACCGTAGAAACAAATGTTTTAAATAAAAAATCTAGCTGAGATAATTTTAAATAAAAATATTTATAAGCACTTTTCGTGTAGAATTAATCGTTTCCTTAGCAACAACGCTTGGAGCGACTGGTGATTTTTAATGTCAGGTAAGCGCGCGAAATCAAATTTAAATAAATTTTTTTATTAAATCAACGGTAAAAGTTCAATATCTTTGATAAGGTTGTTTCATTGACAAAAATCAAAAATCGTTTGAAAGGTAAAAAGTGCACCATTCTTATAAAATATTTGTATATTGTTAAAAAAAGTCTTTTTCTATAAAGGTGTTAAATAAATAAACGTTTAGCGATGTTTTCCATTCTTTACGATTCTCATGAGATAAATAACATGTATTATCACTTTCATTGACCAGTCACTACGGAATTTTTATTATTAGAGCTCAACATTCAAAACGTTTAGCCTGAAATTTCGGTTTTAAGTTTTGGCAACAAATATGAGGCATTTAAAATATGCCCAAAGAACGCTGAATTAAACCATTCACATCACAAACAAGCGCACGCTACAGGAAATGCTTCCTTCTCTTTCTTCATGTGCCGTCTCCTCTAAGATGGTTGGCAACCATCATGGCAATTCGCACTTTTGATACCGCTGCTCTAAAGAGGTCAGCAGAAGTGCAGTTAAACCAAGCTCTCAAATTGTTTAACCAGGAGATGCGTCTTCTTCCGCGACTTCTTCTACCCTGTATTACATTATTAATTGCAACAAGTTATAATGCTAGACCCTCATGACATGTCCCAGATATTGCAGTTTTCTGACTTTAATTTTATTTAAAACCTCTTTATCTTTTCCCATTCTTCTCAACACCTCGACATTCGTGACTCTATCCACCCAACTAATTCTTAATATCCTTATGTAGCCCATAACTCGAAGGCTTCTAATCTGTCCGAAACATATTTCTTTAATGTCCAAGCCTCCAACCCATAAAACAATACGGAGAACACGTAGCATCTCAGAAGTCATCTTTAAAGAAATTGAAATGTCCCTGCTGCAGAGTTTTTTTTAGTTTGTTGAAAGAATTTTTTGCTTATCCTATTCTTGCCTTAATCTCTTCTATGTACTCATTATTTTCGTTAATTATTGTACTCAGATATTTATATTTTTCAACTTTTTTAATTTGTTCTCCATGCATTGATATGTTTTCTTGGCGCTGTTGGGCTTTTGTAATTACCATAAATTGTGTCTTTTTATGTTTAGGGACAGTCCGTATACTTCACTGACTTCTAAGACTCTGTCAATCATTTGTTGTAAATCCTCGAGACATTTCGCCAATAAAATAGTATCGTCAGCAAACCGTGTATTATTGATTGGTCGGCCATTTACTTTTATTCCCATAGTTAGTTCTTCTAGTGCTTCCTGAATTATTTTCTCTGTATACAAATTGATCAAGGTAGGAGACTGGACACAGCCCTGCTTGACGCCTCTCAATCTGTATTTAATTTGAAAAGACGTTGTTCTCTTTTCCCACAGCGATCTGATTATAATAAATAGCGCTAATGATCCTAATGTCTCTCATATCTAAGTTTTACAGCGAACAGGGCTTCCCTCGTTCTAAGTGCATTTATAAATCCAAATTGTGTGACACTTATGTCCTGCTCACGTTTGTTGTGTATTCTCTGGTGTATAACTTTTAAAAATATTTTGAGCATATGACTCATTAAATTTATTATCCGGTGGTCTAGGCATTCTTTTGCATTTGGTTTTTTTGGTAGTGTTATGAATGTTGACATCAGCCAATCTCTGGGAATGATTCATGTACTGTATATTGTATTAAATAAGTCGACCAATATTCCAATTTGTTGTTCTTCTATTAACCGTATTATGTCTACAGATATTCCATCAGAACCTGTTGCTTTGTTGTTCTTTGTTCGCTCTATCGCCTCTAACCCCTCATCCTCTGTAATGTCTGGGCCGTTGTCAAACTTTTCCAGTGTGTTTCATCTCCATGTATTCGTTACCCCCTCCTCTTTCATTTGACGCCTCATACGTTGTAATCTGACCACTAGTAATGAAGATACGTTATAGTATCGTTTTGGTATTGATTTTGTTTCTTGTTTTCATCTATATGTATTCGTTACCCCTCCTCTTTCATTTGACGCCTCATACGTTGCAATCGGACCAATAGACCCGGAGATACGTTATAGTGCCGTTTTGACTATGGCGCCATCTTTGTTTTTTCATTCTACGTGTTCCCCGTCCCCTCCCCTTTCCAACAATACCCTATAGGTCACGATCCGACGAGTCGTTTTACTCCCAACACAAAAAGCGTCAAAAATGAGCAGAATGGACCTTGGATTTTGGTGGTCAGTCCGTTCGTCTTTAAATAGCTCTTGAATATATTCCTGCCATCTTTTAAGCCTTTCACCGACGTCTATAATTATTTTGCCGTATTTATCCGGCAGTATGTTTGATTTTTTCTTAATATTAGTGCCTGTTATTTCCCCAAATTTTTTATTAAGGTTTAAGTTACCATGTTTCTTTGCCAACTGTTCAATCTCTTCGCATCTGTCACTATACCATCTTTCCTTTGCATCTTTGATCTTTCTCCTTATTTCTGTGTGTATATTATTATACATGTTTTTGTCTTTGGTTTTATGTTTTGTCCTTGCTTACATGAGATCCAGAATCTCATCAGTCATCAATTCATTTTTGTTCTTGATCAGCTTAGGTATTAGTGTTGCCTCACATGTGCATATAAGAGAATCATTTAACATATGTCATTTCCTGTTCGCATCTTCAGTGGGAATAATTTATATTTGGTGAGCTCTTCTCTAATTTTTAGTTTGACTTGCTCTTTTGTTGATGGATCTCTCAAACGGGATACTTGTATCCTCTCTATTTTAGTTTTAGCCAAAACTTTTTAGAATAATTCTAAAGTTTCCTACAACTGAGTTGATGATCTCACATCATCTTCGGGTTATGATTTTACTGATTTTATGGAATTTTGGTATCGTTTGCAGATGAGAAGGTAGTCAATTTGGTTTCTGATGACATTATGTAGGTTGTCTGCTGGAGATTTCCATGTATAGAGTCTCCTGGGCGGCAGATCATAATAAGTATTCGCGAAAATAAAATCGGTATCTTCTCAGAATTGAGCCAATCTGTCTCCTCTCTCGTTACGGGTGCCCAGTCCAAAGATTTCAATAAAATCACCATGACTTCCTCTACCGATTTTTGCATGTAGATCTCCCATGAATATTGTAACGTCTCTAGACTTGGTTACTTCTAAAGCTTGTAATTCAATATAAAACTGTTCGAGCTTTTCATCCGACTTTTCTGAAGCTTGCGGGAACATACACTTAAATTATATTGATTCTAAATTGAGCTGTTTTTAGTTTTACCATCAAAACTCTATCCGAGATGTGTAAGAAGCCAGTTACAAATTTCTGGGCAGTTTTGTCAACTAATATCGAAATACGAAAGCAGTTTCTTCTTCTTTAAAACGCATTTTAATTCTTGTCGATAGGACAATTTGATTAAAAGATCTCGAATTTTTACAGTCGAGTTGATTTTGATTTAAATTTGATTTAAATTTGATTTAAATTTGATTTAAATTTGATTTAAATTTGATTTAAATTTGATTTAAATTTCATTTAAAAATGATTTCGCGTACGTACCTGACACTAAAAATTACCGGTCTCTTCAAACGTTTTTTGATGATTCATTTTACCGAAAAAGTGTTAAAAGCATTTTTGTTTAGAATTATCTGAGCTTCATTTTGTATTGGAAATATTTTTTTCTACGGCGTACAAATTCTTTTTAAAACGATTTTTTTCGTTATTCCTCCCCTATGGTGGGGGTTTTAGGGGAACCCGAGAAGTAAAAGTGGTAAACTTTTTTGCATCTTTTTCGGGGTCGCAAAGTTGACATTCTCAGCAAAATTTAGCTTATTCCTATAATTTTTAGTGGTTCACTGGCATTTTCGTCACTGACAACTGGAGTATTTGGTACAAAAAGGTCTTCCAAAGAAATAAAAAATTAAGAATCAGTAAACAGTTAAATAATAAAATTCTTTTTACCGTCCAGTGGATCACTTTCTGGTACTACATAATTGTCAATAATGTCATTTATTTTCTTATTTATTTCAGAAGCGTGTTCGGATTGATTCTGCAATAACTCTTCAAAAATGAGTTGATCGATACTAACCATCTTCATACCCAATGTTTTCGAAGTTTGGTTGGCAGCTTTATAATATTCTAAATAAAAACAATACTTTGATTATTATAAAAACAGTTTTAAAATTTGTTATTTTCTTTATAAAAACAATCATTGGAATATACAAGGGTACGTGTACTTTATTCCAATATAATGTTCGAAGATTAAATACATTAAAAGATAAAACTAAAGGTACAACAAAAACGAAAGATGTTCAAAATCATATTAAACCCCTTTTCACAATAATTGTCATTTAGACTCCTCAATTTCTTTATAAACTAATTTCTTAGGAGGATCAGTGACAAGACACACACAAAAACTTCGTAAACTGTGTGTTCGAAGTTATTGCCGACAGAAATAAACCCTCTATTATTTCCCTTTTTAGTATATCTTTCACTATAAGTCTAACGTGCGCATGTCACAAAGTTCGTTTACGTAATATTCCCTAATAGTAATTGAATTTGTAGTTGGGAAAGTATATACACCAAACTCTAACTAGGCACGAGAAAGCAAAAAGTACAGAAAAAAAAACAAAGTGCTACATGACGTTAATGAGACTAAATAAGAGCAGCATTTACGATCAAAAGAACCAAAAAGCAAAGTATGTATAGATGACAGACAAAATTCTAGTTATGATAGGAAAGAGACGTAACGCTGAAGGTATGAAGTTTGAAGAAAAACACAATATCTAAAAATAGAATACAACCGTCTTTTAGCTTCTATTAGGTTAGAGGTCAACAAGTTAAAACCACATCAGTGGAAACGAGTTGCCTCAGACCTGGATCACAGAGACAGTAGAAAATTCTGGAAAAATTCAAAACCCTAACAAAAGTCAAGGTCTCACTCTCATCTTGTTACCGATAATTCAATCATATTAAATCCATTATTCAAAGCTAAAGCTTTCAAAAACACACTTCAGGCAATATTTATTACACCAGATAACCCTAATTTTAAACAGTGGTTTAAACTCAACTCCGAAAGGAGAGTGGAGGACATACTCTGCTACCCTCCTCGAGACTTTGAAGACTATAATATCCAACTTCCACATTGCATTATGGCAACTCGTAGAATTACTAGACACAAACAACATTATTCTAAAATTCCAATTCGGAATCAGAGTTGACCACTCCGGCCAAAATGCATTGAGAGAAACACCAACCTTCATCCCACGCTCAATTAATGAAAAAGGCATATTCTTACACGTCCAGAATGCCTTCGATCAGATCTGGCATTCAGGTCTAATTGAAAACCTCCGCCTTCCTGGACTGTCAACCACTTTTCTTAAAACCATCCTTTCATATTTCCCCAATGGGACAATAAGAGTTAAAAGCAGCGAACAATACTTAATCGCTTTTAATCTACATGCCGGAGTACCTCAAGGCTCAATTTTAGCTCCAATCGTCCTATCCTCTACACCATCGTCCTCTATGCCAACGATACAGCACTGCTCGTCTCAGATACAGTAGACGGAACCATAAGAAGTCGCTCTTTATTCAGTAGGTCTCAAGGCCAACTTTACAAAGTCACCAAATGGTGCAACAAATGAAGAGTCACTCTCAACTCAACCAAGACACAAGCCATCCTCTTCAGATATCCGTGAACCTTCCCGTTTGAGGACGATGGTAACCCAATACAGTTCTACGGATCTAGACTCCCGTTTTAGAGTTAAGTCAACTACTTGGGTGTATAACTTCAGAAGAACCTCAATTGGGAGACTGAACTTAAGCTCACTATTAACAGAATTAGAAGAAGAGCTAAACTCCTATTAGCCTTACTGGGTAAATCTTGGGGCACATAGCAAGACTCTCCTCTACATATACAAAACCTACATTAAACCTATTATTGAGTACGGGGCAGTTCTTTTTTCCCTACTAAACAACCACCAAATAAATGCCATTATGGCCACCGAACATAAGATCTTGAGAAAGATCATGAGAAAGCGTGCAGATTATCCGTCGGAACTCATCCACCAACTGGCAAATATACCTACAATTTAACTTGTTGGGAAACGAACTTACTTAGGACTACTTCAATATCCTAAAAGCGACGCCCATAAGATATCATAGACGGTAATAATCTACGTGCCAAAAATGTTCAATAGAAAAAAACCGTTCCCACAGTATAGCTGGTAATTCGCAAAAGGTAGTTCGTAAGAAATGAATGACATGGCTACCAACCTTCCTCAACACTAACACCATGATGCACCACAAAACCCCACTAAATAATATATACTGACTGACTACTGCTTCTTGGCAGGGCACTCGTCTAACCATCCTACAAATAACTAACATAACTGCAATCGCAAACTGACGTCTGCTCTTACCATCTTTCTCCCTGGCAAGAAAGCCCACACGTTGAAGGGACCCTTAACGAGGTTTAAATGACTTTGTTCGATATTGGGCCTTTCTATTTAGCTTTGTTTTTCACTTGACTTCCTCTTTTTTGAAAAAATGTGTTAAAAATCGCTATATCTAATGCTGTTGCTAATTTCAGCATATCATCTTCAGCTTCACTTCTAGTTCCAAATTCTAGTCCTTCATTGATTCATATTCTCTCTTAGATTGATTATCATGTGTAATAAAATCAGCTAATACTATGAATGTTTTCTTGATGGAATATAACTTAGTATGTCTCTCAATTGATCATAGTAAACTACACACACAACACTCAACTATTTTTTATCAAGTACAAATATCACTGTCATTATACTATCACTCGTGCTTACAACTTCTTCCTACTATTACTTTTCCCTACATACCACAATTTGTATCCTTCATCTAGTTCTTTCGCTCTTTGTTTATTCCACCTCGTCTTTTGAATGCAAGTAATTTACACTGTCCAACACATACTCTTACCTGTAAGACTACCAGGATTTCAAGACCCTATCCCAAATTGTCTAAAACTTAATGGTGTTAGCTTTATAAAAATGCTCACCCGGAAATTCAAACAGAGGCTCACTTTGCTTTCGGAATATTTTACCTCACGACATACTCTTATTTCAGAATAATTTTTGTTACATGGCAGAAAGTGTTTTCATTGTTATGGCGAGCAAAGATTTTTAGACATTTGCATGATTTAGCCAACACGCCACCAATGCAATCAAATACATTTTTCTGGACCGGCCAGGATTCCGCCTCGTATATTCCAATGTAATGCGTAATCCGCTTCTAGGAGGCACGTAATTTATACTATGGAATAACATATTGGATATAATGCGTTTATTTCTTCTTGTGTTTTCTTCTTAATTTGCTATATTCAATTTTGAGCATAAGCAGTTTCTCTATCTAATATTTGTCACCCCACTGTAGACGCTATAAATAAAACTATCACTTAGACTATGAATGATAAAAAAAATATACTACTGTATTATTTTTTGAGGTACAAAAGCCATTGGAGCTCATCATGGCAATCTTTAACTTGTCTGCAGCAGCCCGGAAAGGCTGCAAAGGTACTGCGTTGAACCAAAGTCTGAGGTTCTTTAAAATGTAGGTACAGGCACTTATTTCGTATAGGCACTATAGGCCATATTTCCGCAAAACATTAAATTTCATTTGGTAAATGAATCACTTGAAGAAATGCATGTTAAGGAAGAACAATAACCTGATGTTCTTCACTCTAGAATGTCTACCTCTGTAAATAAGACGTAATCATATACATTTCATACATATTTTCAGGAAAATGATAAAATCTAAACCCGATGTTGTCTAGCAAGAAGGATCCGGTGTTGGGCATCCTACTACTTAAATGTGCTTCAACGCCTTCCACGTTGAAAAATATCGACAAATCTATTAAATAGATGCAAATCAAATCATTTAGGAATGGTAGAATTCGTTTTTCAAAACATTAAGGCTCAAAAAATTATCATCCTTTTGAAAAGTAGCATTATGTCATCCTTGTTCTGATCTTTTTATGTATTTTTCAATCTCTCTCAAAACGTTGCAATACAGTGACGACCGTTGTATGATGCACGCCTAAAACGGACTACATAACGGTAACTTCGATGTTCTCAAACTAAGTGATTTCCAGCACAGCTTCGTTTTGAGGCAGATGACTCGGTTTATTCATATTCAATAAAAAAGGATTATGTTTTGAAATCACGTAAAAATTTCATATTACATTGTATTGTAAAAAGTGTTGTCAAAACCTATGTGCTTAAGGTGCAATGTGTGAAAAACAATTATTTCAATAACTAAAGAAATTTGAGAAGTATAACAGCTTCCATTACTGATATTTCTTTATATTCATCATAAAAAAATCAGTATTGCAATAATTTTGTCCAAAAGTATAATATTTAAATAAATAACAAACCTGTGTTAGGTGATCCATGGAATACTATAATAACTCCGTGCTTAATTTCCGGAACTATACTAGATACATTGGTAGTGATAATACCAAGTCCCTCTAGAGATTTATTTTCAAATTCTAGCATGTCAGTTGTATTGTTATCGACTGTCGTACTCCATTCCTTGATACGGTCTTCAAATATGAAAAAAAAACACAGCCTCATATCGTTAATTGTTTTTAAAAACAAACAAGCGTTGAAAAAACATTCATTTGAACGGGATTAAGATTTTACAATAAAACGAAATATACAAACATATTTTAAAAAATGATAAGGTTAAAAGTTTAATTAAAAAAATTAATATCGTAAAAAAATTCAGCGAGCATCGATGGTATTAGAGCCTAGAACCAACTATAGCTGCTGAGATAGCTTTAATTCAAACAACACAAGCAGTATTTGAGGATTTTTTTAACAAAATTTAAAGCTATTTGTGTATATAGTGATAACAAACTCAAACTGGAAAACACCAATTATTAAGTAAAAAAATTATATAAAGAGTTTACATCTTCATTGAGACAATCCAGTTTTGAATAAAAATTCAGTCAATAAAAAAAAACTCACCAAATAATGCAAATGAAGAAAAGTTAAACAAAGAAATAGAATATATTTGAAGAAACGTACCAAAAATAGAAATAGAAATACAAAAAAAAAAATAAAAATGGGCACTTCTCTGTCACCTCTCCAAGATGAAAATAAAATTAAGAATTAGGAATTTATAAGCTAAGAAGAATTTACTACCCTTTCCGACAGTGATAAAAAATGTAAAAAATAACGAAGATTCTGATTTTATGTTCATTATCCAGGTTTCACTACAGCAAAGAGACATGCTTTAAAATATCTCGTTCGGTATAGTGTCATCGCATGCCTCACCAACTGACCAGAAAATGACCATATCGAGATAAAAGGAAATGTATAAATATGGGTCATTTTCAAGTCACAGCTAGTCTTGCTCCGGCTCCTATACATGGTCTCCTATACCCTGGAAGCCCTTTGCCGGAGCTCTGCTCCCATTCTAAGAAAATATAGACTCTTGGCTGGAATCTTCTCACCTTTAAATTTGTGTTTTTGTTTCATTATCGATGTAAGAATGATCGATAATCCATCAAAGATGAAATTTACACAGAGGTCACTTCAAATAGGTTGGTCTAAATCCCTCTCTAAGTCATCATGGGAATAGATAAGTTGCCGTAGTACTCCAGGCTCTTTCTTCTCTCTTGGTGATAATAGCATTAGCGTTATCGACATGAAGATGTTTTTTGATTTCAATAATTTTGTACAACACCTCAACGGTTCGACTTGTCCTTGCAATCCGCTTTTCAATTTCTAGGTGGTCTCGTTTGTTTGTTAAGGTAATCCCTGGCAATTACACACTTTCTTTCTTTCACTCATTGTTCATGTTTTTATTAAACGTGGCTCGAGTCTCGACTCGCTTAAGAGGTAAGTAAGTAAGTAAGTTTAACAAATTTCAGTCGGTTCCTTGGCTTGTACGGGTATGTAGAAGACGCAAGGGGGAAGTGCCAGTAGATAAGCGATCGAACGAAGGTCAAGTTTTTAGGTTTGAAGATTTGGTCAAACGGAACGGTCATTATTATGTAGTGATAAAAAGCCGTTATAATTTGCCAAAAATAATGGAATAAACTCATGTAAATTATACTATATATATATATATATATATATATATATATATATATATATATATATATATATAATATATATATATATATATATATATATATATTGTTATGATATGTAAAATCGAGAAAAATATTGGTTTGTTTAAAATATTTCAAAGTTCAAAAACATTAAAATAATTTAGATAAGTAGAATAATAACCAACAAACATTTCGAAGAAGGAAAGTCTTTAAATTTTTGGATTACCTGTATTAAACAAAATGTAAGCTATGCATAACTTATTTTCTTTGTTAAAATATACTTGAGTGACCCGCATAATTTTAAGTGAAATCCAAAGACAATTGAACCGGGTTTTCCAAATACATTAATGCAGTGATTAAGGACAATAGAATAGATTTTAGAAAGAGGTTTTTGTTAGTTTTTAAGAATTGTAGAAAAATATTATTTGTAAACAAGTTTTAGGAAATTTTATAATTATAGGTAAAAATTTGTTTGTTATCAAAATGAAAAAATGGGAGAATTGTGACGAGCTTTGATTGGCGGCGATTAAAAAAGGTGGGATAGGTATGTAGGAATGAAAGTTTAGCTAGATTTTTGAGAGAGAAAAGATAGTCAGTTGGTTTCCAAGGGTGCAAGGCGAACGGCCGTTGTTCTCGGGTAGTTTCCCAGAGGTAGGAAGCAGTAGCAGTGAAAGTTTGTGAGTTTTCGTGTAGTTAGTGTATCTGACAGAAGCTGATCCAGTAAAAGATTGTAAGTTATATTTTCTACTTATATTCCAAGAGTCACTGTTCAGGCCAACGAGAGATTCAGTTTATCGTAAAGAAAAGATATTCCAAGAGTCATTTTTAACTCAGGCCAACGAAAGATTCAGTTTATTGAGAGAAGAAGAAGCTAGCATAATTTGAACGATTCGTGCATTTGAAGGAGATCATTAAGGACGATAAACTTGCAATAATTTGTTGTGATATTGCTGATTACCTAGGGAGCGGCTGAGAGTAGATAATATAGTCTACAAGGAACAAGGATTTGGACCACTCATCATCAGAGAGAGATAGTTTTGTTTTCTGCAGTTTTTCTTTTATTGATAACACCATTTTTACACTTAATTTAGAAAGGATATAAATATTTTGATTAGGAGATTTAGAATAATATTTGGGATTTTCAACTAATATTGTTTGTACCATTAATTTTGAAGGTTCACGTACGTAAAACAAAATTTTGAGAATCATTATATGAGATATTGTTTATTGAAAACATTTGAGTGTGAATTATTTCATTACTTTTTATTTCAATATATAATGTTAGATCATATATGTTTTTTATTATTCCGGTATTCTTTGGACCTTACCTTTCACATGTAATAGCATAGATATTGAAGCACGAATTTAACCCTGACGACATGTTTGACAAAAAACAGTCAAACATGTCGGCTTATTTTTTACTTTTTACACTTTGTAACATGTTCTTTAATTTTTAAGTTATTTTAAAGTTTTTAAGTTTTAATGCCTTCAGTAATTCAGATCACATTATGTTATGTAACGTTTTATATGCTATGAATCTTACTTTCTGGTAAGTTTTTATAACTTTTATATTACATCAGCCTAATTTTATAACACAGTAATTTTCATTGTAGACCTTGATAAAGGTGGCAAATAACCACCGAAAGCTCGGATTTCAGAATAAATAGTACGCCTTAGCAAAGCTCTATTTTTTATTGACTACCACACCCAAAAGAAAAAAGTATTTACATATTTTTTCCAAACTAGTCAAAAAAATTTGGACTACCTTATATATATATAGATATATATATATATATATATATATTATATATATATAATATATATATATATATATATATATGTATATATATATATATATATATATGTATATATATATATATATATATATATATATATATATATATATATATATATATATATATATACTCCGCCAAAAAAGTAACGCATCACCTATGAAACTGCAAATTTTGTATTAAAAATAATTTAAAACATGGATTTCTTACTGTTTTTCTTTGTTTTTTAAGTATGTAACAAGTATTAAAAGAAAAATGGAGAATGTGCGAAAACCAAAGGTTTTATTTAATTTATTTCATAAATTAGAAGTAAGCGCACAAACAGCATTAAATAAAACGAATAAAAATCAAAAGTAATGATAATTTAGTAAGATGGATTGCCTACTCTAGCTCTTATAACATCTAGACAAGGTTGTGGCATACTTCCAATTAATCTTCATAGATAATCTTGATCGATATTATCCCATTCTACGGTTAACAACCGTTGCAGGTCCTGAAGATTAGCTGGCGTCACATTACCAGATCTCAACCTTCTGTAAAGATGCTCCCAAACATAATCTATTGAATTTAAGTCCGGGCTGTGCGCTGGCAAATTCAAAACTTGTAAATTTACCTCTTGAAGGTAATCGGTAACGATTCTTGTGACATGTGGGCGTGCATTGTGATGTATGTATTAAAACAAAGTCATTACCAATAAATGGGGCATAAGGATCAACATTCATCTCCAAAATTTTTCTAATGTACCTATCAGCAGTTACCAACCTCCATCTAGTTGTACCAATTAGGTTTTACCCCTAAGAGATATTCCGCGACAGAGGATAATAGATCCTCCTCTAAAGTTTGTCGCTGGTCTTAGGTTGCATTTAAAATAACTCTCGCTGTCTCGTCTATAAACTGGTATTCTTCAATCCGAAGTGTATAAACAAAATTTTGACTCATCTGTAAAGACTATGTTATCCCAATCGTTGATATTTCAATTTACGTGCACTATTGCAAATGTTAGACGTGATACCTATACGTTGTTTCCTTGTAAGTCTCGGAGCAGTGGCAGCTACTCTGGCCCTTTTTCGAGACTATCTTGAGATGTACCTTACAGTTTCTGAAAATACACGTACATTTCAAGTAGTTGCTCTTGGCGGACCTGTTACAGCTCGTCTTTCATAAATACCAGTCTTTCGGTACCTTACTACCACTCGTGATACTGTTGACTGATTTACACCCACTAAATTTTGCCACATATCTCTGACGCCTTCCGTCTTCTAAGAGAAATTATTCTAACCACTTGATCTTTCGTTAAATTTAGATTTATATTGCCACGACATTACATACTCAATATTTAATACGAAATTTTAAATTAAACGCAAATTTTAACTGTATATTTTTTACAAAAGGAAAATAAAGACTGATAATATAAAAACCAGGACAAATAGCAATTAACATTTTTTCTCAAACAGTAAGCTGTATTTACAAATTTCTTCTTAATATTTATTCTAGCCTTAGATGATGCTAGATTATATGCCTTAATATTCTTAAGGGTCAGAAAGAAATAATTTAAATTAACCAAATGCTGTCAGAAATATTTGTAATTTTATAAGTGATGCGATACTTTTTTGGCGGAGTATATATAATATATTGTAATTACTTTTGATTATCTGCTTGTGTAACTGTTTGTTTGAGACAAAAATAAATGTTTAATTTATTTCCCTAATTATTTTGTTTATGATATTTTAGAAAAATCTCCTAACTCCTCTGTGTCTTTTTTAGTGAAGAAGAGCCTTTTCCCTTAATCCAGCAAGATTAGGATTCTTCGAAGCGGCCCCTTTTTTTTCTTAACTAGCTAGAAGTGTTTCTTGTTATTTCTATTTACCTATTAGTCCAGAAGAATTATGTAAGTACCCCTTTGCTAGATTATTTTGTAGTTGCCCTAATCCGACCCCATTGCCATTTACTTATCTAGCTCTCCAAATAAACCCTGAGTGCCGTTAGCACAAGTATCGTTTTATTTTTCTTGCTCTATCTCCACCCCTATAGTTTCAGTCCCAAATTTTCTACCCCTTATAGTTATACCCCATGTGGTAGGTAAAATATATTCTTTACAAAATTTTAAAAATATACAGATTTTGGAAAAAACAAACGTACAACGAAAGATGTATATTGGAGATGATTCATATAGAAAATATCAAAATTGTATCTATAATAAGACCGATATAAAGGATGTCTTTAATATATCTCACAACGTAATAAAATGAGTTGTCTGTAAATGCACCATTGGAAGTAATTTCAAATACGACCCTAATTTGGGATAAAATATCACTTTTGCTTTCCATCGTAAACTTAATGAAAAGTTTTTATGTATATATACTTGTACTTACCCCTTATTATGCCCACAATTTCTCCTTTTGACATATTTTCTAAATTCTCAGTATCAATGTCTTTTTCACTTACACCAGATTTCTTTAGTTCATTAAGTAACGTGTTATATGTATTTTCAAATATATTTAATAGGGGAGTACCAGGAAGCCGTTCAGGGATAAATAAGATTTTTAGGTTGTGGTATTCCATAAAAAGGTCTATCAACATTTTTTCTTTGTCGTAAGTTCTAAAATAAAATGTATTTTAATGTAAAAGTAATTTATCCCCTATGCAATTTTAGCTTCAAGTTACCATACCAATTCAAAAAGTTTAGGTTATAGATATAGAAAAGAACCTACCTGGGTCACAGGTATCTGTACGCATTATTCCCATTCTCTTTAAAGATGTAAAAAAATAATACCAAAAAAATTGTAAAATATTTTAATGAAAAGTTTATTAATATAATAAACTTAATTTGAAATATTAATATAAAATATTAATATTAAGAGAGGCAAAATAAATTAGGCCTCTTTTATGGATGCTTATTCTCGTTTACTTTTTAGCTTTATAAAAAATTTTGGAAGCAAAGTTTAAAGCAATTTTAAAAACCTGTTACTTACTCATCAAAATCAGAAAAGGAGTACTCAATTGGAAATGTTGATACATTCTGAATTAATAGAGGCTTTACAATGCGCTCTGCATAGGGCACAGAAGATTCAAATTTCATTTGTTTTTCTTGTATCGCCAAATTTGGGATCATTCCGTGGCCGATAAGTTCAAGCACATAACGAGTGATACTACCTTCGATGTATACTTCCACCTCGGATATGTAGCATCCATTTTTTATCGGCATGAAAAAGATATCCATCAGTCCTTTGTCCATTTCGATTAATTGACCCTGTTGTGGAATAACATAAAACGCGTTTTTCATAGTATTTGTGCTATGAACATCTGCATTCCATTTACATGTCAAATAACCACTGAAACAAAGTGATTTTGTATTTTTTGTGTATAAAATATTATTTACTGTTCAATAGAATGATAATTTATTTATAATATGATGAATAAATTTATAAGCAATTTAAACCCATAGACTAAAGCAATAAAATATTTTAAAGCGTAAAGTCACTTGCACAAATATTACCTGAAAGGTAATCCAAACGAAAATTGATTATAAACTAAAGTATTTTTCGTGTACTTATACGGATTTCGGATTAAGTAAGTAAGCAACGATTCAACTGACTTCTTCCTCTTGTAGTGCCTATCCGTTTCGGATGTTGGCGACCATCATGGCAATCTGCACTTTGCACACTGCTGTTCTAAAAAGATTTGTGGTTGTTGTGTTGAACCATGTTCGTAAATTTTTCAGCCAGGAAATCCTTCGCCTTCCTGGTCCCCGTTTTCCTTCTACTTTTCCCTGCAAGATTAGTTACAGCAGTCCATATCTTTCGCTGTTCCTCATGATGTGACCGAGGTATTCGATTTTGGCTCTTTTTATTGTGGTTAACAGCTCTTTTTCTTTTTTCATTCTCAACAGAACACCCTCATTAGTAACGTGATCGGTATACGATATCTTGAGGATGCAACAATAAAGCCACATTTCAAAAGCCTAAATTTTCTTGCAGGTAGTTATGTGAGAGTCCATGACTCAACTACGTACAACAGTATAGGAAAACAATATAGGAAAAAAACAATATAGGAAAAGATGTAACATCGTAGTAACCTGATTTTTATGGGATTTGATAAATCATGAATAACTTTTTTGAATAACTTAGCCATTTTTTGAAATACAGATCTTGCTTTCTCTATTCTACATTTGATTTCTATGGAATGGTCCCAATTTTCATTGACGTTCGTACCAAGGTAGGTGTATGTTTTTACTCTTTCTATTTGTTGACCGTTTACACTGATTTATCCAAATTGCTGTTCCTTCTTAGAGATCATCATGCATTTTGTTTTCTTAGTGTTTAGTGAAAGTCCGTATCTGTGACTGACCTCTGTGATTCTGTTCATTGAAACTCCTGGAGGCTCTCAGAACTATCAGCGAATACTACCGTGTCGTCCGCGTATCTAATGTTATTGATAGATTCTTTTCGGCTTCAACATCACCCACTGCTTCTTGAAAGATTTCCTCAGAGTATATGTTAAACAGCAGTGGTGATAGAATACATCCCTGACGGACGCCACGTTTGATTTTGATATCGTCGGATTCTCCTGCCTCTGTCCGGGTAGATGATGTTTTATTTCAGTACAGATTGCTGACAATTCTCAAATCACAGGTGTTTATTCCAATATTGCTTAATATATCCATCAGCTTGTCGTGCTTTACTGCATCGAACGCTTTATGGAACTGACTAACTGAAAAAATGCAGGAACTTACATTTCTTTATAACAGATAGGTTATTACTATTTAAATGATAAAACATGCCTTTAACCTAGGCTCTCTTATTTTGGGAACAATTAATACAACTAATTCTGTCATGTCGGGTATGCCCAGCAAATTTTCATTTAAGTTGTGCTACCGGAGTTAAAGCATAATGTTGCTTTGGTTTTATTACAAATTCAGATATGCTTTATTCTATCTAATAGTATAAGATTCAAGATTTGCTTTTCCATCATCATCAAAACTCAAAAGTCCACTGCTAAACATAGGACTTTTCTCGTGGTTCCAATAGCTTACAGCATAGCTGCACGAAGAGTTGCTATATTAGAGTTCCTCCAGGTGATACTGGTATCATCAGCAAGAAGAAACATTTTTCCATAGATTTGCGATTTGCTTTTAATACTACTTATTATTTGTATCAGTTCAGATTTATCAACTGGTCTTATAAAGAATGAATTCGAGACCTTTTTTGAATTAAGAAGATACGAAATCGGATCTTGTTGTGGAAAAATAGTTCATGTTATATTTTTACTCACATTAGTGAGTAGTACTCATTAAGATTTTCAGGGTTTAGTTTCAGTTCTAAGCGCAAAAATCCTACTTAAGTTAAACGTTGGGTTTGCGAGGATGGTTTGTTAAGTGTGCTAAACTTGGTATATACTGCTTCATGATCAGATGGTCATGCATTAATAATTGTAAAGAATATATCAGGGATGAAATCTGAAACAATATTATCAATATGGCAGATATTTTTTTAGTAATTCTTAAAGTAGAATTAACGTGCATTGTGAAACCATAGGCTTCGAATTTATTGATCAAGGATAACTGGATAGCACAAGAAAGAGCGTAATTAATATTTAAGTCTCCGTATAAAATATTTCTGCTTTAATTAGGGAGGTCGTGTGACAAATTTAGCAGGTTCAGGAAAAATAGTTCCATGGAAGAATCAAGTGATCTACAAATGCAAATAATGTATAGATTAAGATTTTTGTTATAAACCCATGAAAACTCAAAAATGATTCATTTAACAGAAAGTCATATTTTGTTATAGGAGAGAAATCATTATTTGTAGAAAGAATTAGAGTGTCACCATAAACTGAACTTGGACGATCATACCTAGCAATTGTGGTATCCACAAGGAATCTACGTTCCTGTAGTTGGCTGTATACCATATATTAAAAAATTTATTAAAAATCCTTTGTAAAAGGTATATATTAAGAACCCAAATGGGCTAAGTTAAACATACAAAACGTTTTTGGAAACCATATTCCATCATCAGTGTCTAAGAGTACATGAATGTAGCCACTAAATATATGGGTAAAAACCCGTTAACAAATAATTGATTACATTTGGTTTACAAAATTTCTTATGATGACTTAAGATGTTAAAGTTTCCGTTAGATTAGGTAGACACACCGTCTCAAGACTAGCAACTTCAACGTGGAGTCATATGTCGCCATGTTACCTAATTCAACGGAAACTTTAACATCTTAAGTCATCATAAGAAATTTTGTAAACCAAATGTAATCAATTATTTGTTAACGGGTTTTTACCCATATATTTAGTGGCTAGATTCATGTACTCTTAGACACTGATGATGGAATATGGATTACTGAAAACGTTTTGTATGTTTAACTTAGCCCGTTTGGTTTCTTAATATATACCTTTTACAAAGGATTTTTAATTAATTGTGGTATATTTTTCTACAAAAAAAGGCTCGTTGACTTCAAGACAGTGCTCGGTAACCGCAACTATCAGGGGAAATCCTAATTCATCGAGAAACAAAAATAATTCATATGTTTTATATCTTATAGAACGAATATTAATCAGAACCATGATACAGTTGTCATTACTAAAATGATTTGAGGTTTCTAGTCCCACAGAACATGTCATATTATTTAAAAATTTCGTTTTGGAGAGACAACGGGATATTGTGTTTCGGTGATTTTTCTTCGAAAGTTTCGAAGGATAAAAAGGGTTTAACACTTGTATTGGTGAATTCTTCGTAGCATACTGAAGCAGGTTGGATGTGTATTTTTTTGAACCTATTCTCTATCCTTCCATTGTAGGATATAGGTCTCCCCTAGTTCTCTCCATCTTTCCCTATCTTGAGCTGTTCTTTGCCATGTGGGACCTCCTTGTTTCCTGATGTCATCTTTCCACCTCATCTGTGGTCTGCTTCTTGATCTCTTTGCATTGTATGGACGCCACTTTCCGATGGCATTGTTCCATCGTCCGTCTTGGAGACGTTCATTGTGTCCAGCCCATTTCCATTTCAGTTTTGCTGCTTGTTCTATCGCGTCTACTGTCTTTGTTCTGGTTCTGATCCACTAGTTACGTTTTCTATCTTTAAGTGATATACCCAACATTTGTCTCTCCGTCGCTCTTTGTGCCTTCCTTATTCTATCCAAATTGGCCAGTGTAAATGTCCATGTCTGTGCTCCGTAGGTGAGCACCGGTATTATGCAGGAGTATTATACCTTGCTTCGTAAGTATAGAGGGATTGTTTGATTTTTTAGAACGTAAGAAAGTTTGCCGAACGCTGCCCATCCCATTCTTACTCGTCTCGATATTTCGGTTGTTTGATTTTTTCTGTTAGGTCTGATTGCTTGTCCTAGATAGATATACTCATTTACCTGTTCTATTTTTTCTGTTTGTATTTTTATTGCCTCTTGGTCTTCCGTGTTTGTCATTACTTTTGTTTTGTTGAAGTTAATTTTTAGGCCTTTTTGCAGTGATTTTTCATGAAGTTCATTCAGCATTAATTCCAGTTCTTGTCGTTCCGAGGAGATCAGGAGTATATCATCTGCATATCTAAGGTGATTTAGGTATTTTCCGTTAATACATACTCCTCTGTTTTCCCAATCTGTTGATTTTATTATGTCTCCGAGGGTCAAGGTAAACAGTTTAGGTGATATTATTATCCGTTATTAATTTGTCGTCCAGAATTACGGTCATGGTTGCGTTTTGGTAAATATCATGTATCAATTGTCGGTATCTTGAATCTATTCTACTATTGACCAGAGCTTCTTCAACCGCCCAGTGTTCAATGCTGTCGAAAGCCTTTTCATAATTTACGAATGCTAAGTACAGCGGAAGGTTGTATTCATTGGTTTTCTCAATTAAGATTTTAAGCGCATGTAGATGGTCGATTGTGCTGTATCCTTTCCTGAATCCGGCCTGTTTCACTGGTTGGTAGTTATCAAGTTTATAGGTTAGTCGGTTGTTTATGATTCTTGTGAAGGTTTTATATAGTTGTGATAAAAGGGAAATAGGACGGTAGTTGTTTAGGTCTGTTCGGTCTCCTTTCTTATGTATTAAGATTGTGTTGGAATTTCTCCATTCATTAGGTATTTTACCTTCAAACAGACATTTATTGAACAGTATTTTTAGCATTTTTTTTATGGTGTCTCCTCCTTCTTTTACCAGTTCCGCCAGTATTTTGTCCTCACCGGCCGCATTATTTCTTTTCATGTCTATTATGGATTTTTCGATTTCTGGTTGTGTATAAAAGCAAGATATCTTGGTAGCTTAATGGCCTTCAAATATCCGGTTCCTTTAATTTTGCTAGAAGATATCGACTGTTAGAGTTATTGGTTAATCTATCTCTTGGTGGGGTCAAAGGATCCAGAATTATCGATTATTTCAAAGTATCCTTCTTAATAAAGTTAATATAAGAATGGAAAAGCATTTTTGGATTTGTAAATATCGATTGCCTGCTTGTCTGTGACTATTTTGCGTTTTCTACTTCATTTTTGTTGTTGTTTTAAATGGCAATTGGATTCTCCATGCTAACGGGGCTTGGGATGTTCTTCGGACTCAAATTTGACTCTAATAAAAGCGTTGGTTCGGAATATAAAGATTTTATAAACCATTTATTGTTTATACCAGCTAACCAAATTTCCTTATTAAATAATAAGTCAACGGAAGTTTTAGATTTTAAGCTAATTTTAAATGAGGGACCACTCGCTGTGGAGGAGGGCATAACGTCTAATATATTCTTTGATACGCATCTTCTCTTTAATAAAGTGAACAACTTGTATAGGGGTGTAAATTAGGGTTAAGTTGGTATTAATTACATAATGGCATATACCTTCTGTAATTTAAGGCTATATCCCTACACTTAATTCGAAATATTGAGGGACTTTAGTTTGGTTACCTGAGGTGGCATAAAATCTATTTTTCTTCTATACTTTTTTTTATTGGTATAGTAGATAATTTGTTGGTAAGATTACTCATTTAATTAGATATTTCACTGATATTTAAAGATAATGTTTCTAACTCCATCTTAATCTCAGTTGAATTTAAGTTTTGGATTTGAACCTTGATAGTGCAATAGGAACTGCTGAAAAAAACTGACGATATATTGAAAATATCTTGTTCCATCTGCCTTATAGATTTTAAAGTATTGTCAGAATTTATCAGGTTATTTATTTTATGATCTCATCATTTTTTTTTAAGATAGTTCAGACTGCCTTCATTTTTGGTTAACAAATCGTATGACTCAATGAAAAAAGAGATTTTTTGTCACTTAAATCTGCTCACCACAGATCTGCTTAAGCTTAGCATAAGTTTAAGATTTAAGTATATTAAGTATTAATACATATAACCTTAGACCTACAGCGTTAGAAGACATTTTGTTTTGTTCGGTAAAATAAGAGCTTTTAAATCCTTGCTTCTATTTGATCATTTAAATCGTCCACAAATACCTCATTAACCGTGATTACATTTTTAAAACTTTGTACTATATAAATAAAAAATACTACTACTTACAGATTCTCTATTACTACGGATTTCTTCAAGACATTTCCAACCTTTACGGCTCCAAAATCCATACACTTTTTATGAAACCTAAATCTGGGCAACGATATCGTAGCAGTGATTATGATCGGTATCATAGCTCCATGATTTACTCCCAAAAATAAATAATCCTGAACAAAACGATCGTCAAAAATTTTATACTCTTTTCTTGGTTTAAATACCACATACAGTTCACCAATTTCTCCTACTCCTAGTGTTTTGTTTTTATATTCGACGAACATCTGATTATTTGAGAGAGATGATAAGTTTGACTTCATTTTGTGTACTGTAGTTGGTTCTGGACCTAGAAGTACAATATTGTTAGAATTATTTATTTCATATGTACAAATGTGCATAGCCATATAATACTGCTCAAAATTCCATTAACCCTTTCAGGACGGTTGACCGATATATCACGGACAGAAATAAAATTGCCACACGAACAACTGACCGATATATTTACCATGTTTACCCGTCTCCAAAAACAGTTAGTTAGAAGTTATGCATGCAGTAAAGTCCATAAAAAATAATAAAGCTGCTATAAAAAGATTATATGCAGCAAAGATCTGGCATTGGCCCTCAGAATAAGGCTAATTAAATGTTATGTACACAGTGTACTCTACTATGAAGCTGAATCATGGACATTAAACCAGAATTCAATAAATCGACTTAACGCGTTTGAAATGTGGACATTTAGAAGAATGTTAAGGATTCCATGGGGAGATAGAGTCACGAATACAGAAGTGTTTGGCAGAATAGGCAGAGAGAGGGAAATGGAAAATATAATAAAAGAAAGGAAGTTGCAATATCTCGGACATATGATGAGAGGCGAAAGCTACGACATCTTGAGACTCATAATTCAAGGAAAAATAGAGGGTAGAAGAAGCGTAGGAAGAAGATGCGTTTGCTGGTTGAAGAACCTGAGAGAGTAGTTTGGTTGCAGCTTAATGCAATTGTTCAGAGCAGCTCAAAGGTCAGAATAGCCATGATGATTGCCAACCTTCGTCACGGAGATGGGACTTTAAGAAGAATAAAGAACAGTGTATGATTAATCAGCAAAAATTTTAAAATGAAATTGGCAGACGACTGGCGGATATATCCGAAGTTGCTAATTTGCCACACAGACTAGTGTCCTTGATATCAGTTACCGACCGATATAAGCGACTCTCGGCTAGTGATAAAAATGTACACGCAGCATACAGATTACTTGAAATTTGCGGTCGCCACGTCGCCAGGTGTTTCAGGCTGGGCCATAGAGCAAAATAATAAAGTTAACAATAAGACTATAAATTATTATTCTGCATATTGTTGATTAATTTCATAGAAAGTGGCTAATTTACAAAAAAGTTTTTCTGATAGTGGGAGTGAATATTTGCCAACTGAAAAAAGTGATTAGGAAACCAGTGCTAAAGAAGAATTTGATTAAGTTGTAAACTTAGAGAATTGTGAGAACTTGGATGCAAAACTAATACTCAAAATAATATTTAAAAAGATTATAGTGACATACAAATCCATTGGAAAAATATCAATTCGTCCCCAAGTTTCATAAATTTGATGATAGTCGGAGCGAAGTACTGGACATCATGAACTTAACAGAAGAACCAAAGGCAATATATTATTTTTTGAAATTTTTTATCGAAGATACAGCAAATGTATAATTAATGAAAATAACAAATATGTTTTGCAAAAAAATTATAAAAAATGGAAAAATCTTTATTTAGATAAGTACTTTATATCTCTTGCATTTACTATGCTTATGTCCAGAAACAAAAAGCTTGAAGTAAAGGAGAATTGGTCAAAAGATTCGCTTGTATAAAATAAAGGAGGTTTTGACACCTTTTTGACACATTTTTCGTTATTATACCAAGATTTGCTTTCATGACAAGCTAAAATATTTATAAATAAATATAAGTTTTATGGATCAGCTAATTGTCATATTCTAGTTTTCTTTAAAATATAGCTGACCTTGCTAATTAATTAATAATTCAAAAAAGTTTGATATTTTATTTCGACATATAACAGTCACTATATCCTTTCCCGTCATTTGGTAAATAACAAAAATTTTAAAATCTGTTTTGTTAGAAGGTCCAACTCAATGTAAGTTTTGTTGATAAATTTGGATATTGTTATTTGTAATAACTGTTTATGTGAGCTAAAAATAAATATGTAATGCTTCTCTTTAAACCAGGAGTTTAAAATTATTTCTTTTAAAAAGATATTCATTAAATATCTAAATTTTTTTTAGAAGAAAAATCTTCTTTCCAAGCAAGAAGATATTTTTAAAAAGAGTCCATTTTAAATAGTTTAAAAATCTTCTTGTGTGGTGTTGCTCATTACAGGAAGTATTTTTTTGATTTCTTTTTCGTAGTAATTTTTCCCAGTCCCTCAAATAAAGGAATCCTTATCCACGACCTCAGCTCCAACCAAAACACGAGAAGCCATTCAAAAAAGATTCAATTTATTTGCTTATTCTATATTTAAGACTGGTAATTTTTCAGCCCGCCCTTTCAATCCCCATTCATCATCATCACCCAGCCCTTTGCTGGACATAAGCATCCCTCATTCTTGTCCATTGTGCTCTATCTTGAGCATTTTTCATCCAATTTCTGAACACCTTCTTGAGATCGTCAGTCCAACGAGTAGGGGGTCTTTCTCTACTTATTTTGTCTAACCTTGGCCTCCACTTAAGCAATCTCTTCGTCCACCTTTCATCACTGATTCGGGCGACGTGTCCGGCCCAGTTCCATTTCAGTGTGGCAATTTGGGAAATTGCATCGGTAACTCTTGTTCTTCGTTTTAAGTCTTAATTTCTAACTCGTTCACGTCGCGATATACTCAGCATTGATCTTTCCATTTTCCTCTGAACTATTTGCAGCTTTTTAGAACTTGTAGCTATCAATGTCAAAGTTTCGGTAATCACAGGCTACACATTGGTCAAATGTTTTACGTTTTAAAGAAATTGGTATATCGCTTTTAAAGATATCTTTGAGTTTTCCATAGGCTGTCCATACTACGTTTATTCTTCTTCGCAATTCGCATGTTTGGCTGTCTCTTGCGATCTCTATTTTGTGTTCAAGATATATGTATTTTTCCACCAGCTCTACTTAGTTGTCTCCAATATTGATATTTCTGCTAGGTACTAGGTTTGTCATGAATTTTGTTTTGGAGATGTTTATTTTAAGACCCACACTGGCACACACAAACTGAAGTTCATATGTAGCTTTGTACATATCTCCTTGAGGTTGTCCGAGAACAAAACTATGTCGTCTGCGAATTTCAAATTTGTTAATCTGCTACCGTCAATGTTCAGGCGTTTCTCTTCCCAGTTAAGTTTTTTACAAGCATATTCTAGTACTGCGGTAAACAGTTTAGGCGATAAGTTTATGCCCATTGAGATGTGATCCGTGTTTTCATGTAGTTTCACCGACATAGTTGCGTTCTTGTTAAGCTATTAGTATGGGAATGCAAAATCCTGCGAATTATATATGGTCCTTGCAGGGACAGCGTGACAAATGAATGGAGAAGCAGATACAACAATGAAATAGAGACTCTCTTCGGAAAGGAAACATCGTAAGATACATAAAAGCCAATAGATTAAGATGGGCAGGCCACGTGGTACGGAGTGATGACGACAGACTGATTAGCAATGTGTTTTGGGAAAGACCAGATGGCCTAGACAGGAGTCCTGAAAGATCGACAGGAAGGCCTAGAAAAAGGTGGACAGACGCAGTCAGGAAAGACCTGGAGAAGATGGAAGTAAGGCTATGGGAAATAATAGCACAGGATCGAAATCAATGGAAGGCAATAGTAAACGCGGCAAAAACTCACGAAGAGTTGTAAAATCTAATGATGATGATGATGAGTTGCATTCTTGTAGGGATTTTAAATTAATCTTATATATCGGTAGTCAATTCGGCATGCTTGTAGTGCTTCCAGGATTTTGTCAAGTTCTACCGTGTCAAAGGCTTTATGGAAATCTACAAAAGCCAAAACGAGTGGTCGATTGTATTCGATAGTCTTTTCTATTACCGTTTTAATGCTCTGTAGGTGATCAGTTGTTCCAAATCTGGTACGAAATCCTGCTCGCTCTATTGGCTGGTAGAAATCAAGTTTTTTCTCAAGGCAATTCGTTACTATTCTTGTAAAAAGTTTGTATAGGTGACTAAGAAGACTTATAGGTCTGTAGTTTTCTAATTTATGGGATCTCCTTTTTTGTACAATAGAATTACTTCAACATTATGCTATTTGTCGGGTATATTACTGCCCAAAAGGCACATGTTAAAAAGGTTTTTTATTTTCTTAAGTAGGCAAGTGCCTCCGATTTTGATTGCGTCAGTAACTACACAATCTTCGCCTGGAGATTTGTTATTCTTAGCTTTTCTTAGGGCTCGTTTTATTTCGGACATTGTGATTTTCAGTAGTAGTTCTGATTCTTGGTTGACAATGCCCTTTTCTTTGTTAATATTTCTGGTACTTGATCTTCTCTACTATTTGCTTTGTGTTAGCTTGAGTACAGCAATTTGTAGATTTTTTTAACTATTTTAAGGGTTTACTCTCTGTTGGTTGTAAGATGACCATTTTTTGACTTTATTCTTTATTATCTGCCTTGTCCCTGTTCTTATCTTTTCTTCTCTTGTCTTTTTCTCAATACTTTCATACTTCTATTGTTTTCAATGGTATGTTCGATTTTTGTTCTTGGTTGTATTTTCGAGTATCTTATCTAACAGCTTTGGATATTTCTTTATTTAATTTTTGTAGTTCGTCGACTTTAGTTTCCGTCTCGTTTCTCATTTTTCTTCTTTTCTCTGCATTAATTGACTAGTATTTTGGCTTAGCTTCTCTTCTTTTTGAGTTCTAGGACAAAATTTGTTTTGACTTTACAGTAAAGCATTTGTTAATTTATTATTTATGTCGTTTATATTATTTTCTGTTTCAGGACTACTAAGTATTTCGGAAATACATTGCTGAAAACCATTTACATTTGATGGTTTCATCCATGGTTTAATTTGTTCTTATTTTTAATCATTTCTTTTTTCTATTTTACCTCATACCATTCTATGATTAAAATTCCACGAGGAAACAAAGTTCCTGTAGCTGGCTGTATACCATATATCACAAAAAATTTTGTTTAAAATCCTTTATAAAAGGTAATTAAAAATGCCCCAAACGGGCTATCACAAACACATTGCAAAACGTTTTCGGATTAAACAATCCATCATCAGTGCAAACGGTTGTACATGCTAGTAGCCACCAAAATATATGGGTAAAAACCCTTTAAATGTGTTAAATTTGAAGTTGTTTTACATTATTAGTATTATAATTTGTGATGTTTAAGTTACCGTTGGATAGGTAACATGGCGGCGTATGACTCTACATGTTATCAGTTGTTATCAACAGGTCCTCGTAGACACTTCGTCTCAGGACCATTTTACTCATGTAGAGTCATACGCCGCCATGGTACCTATCCAACGGTAACTTAAACATCACAAATTATAAATACTAATAATGTAAAACAACTTCAAATTTAACACATTTAAAGGGTTTTTACCAATATATTTTGGTGGCTACTAGCATGTACAACCGTTTGCACTGATGATGGATTGTTTAATCCGAAAACGTTTTGCAATGTGTTTGTGATAGCCTGTTTGGGGCATTTTTATATACATTTTATAAAGGATTTTTAACAAAAATTTTTTATTCTATGATTACTACTGTCCATTTGGAATAGTTTATGTTACAGGATAAAGTTTCCCAGTGGTGTTTCTGTAGAGTTATATTTCATTAGTGTTTTGGCGTTAAAATCACCACATATAAGAGTCAAATGTCTTTGATGGTCCTTGAAGAGCAGCTTCGATCCAGTTCTTCTTCATCATGGTCTGTTGTTGGTGCATAAACCTGTATTATTTTCATATTATATGTTGTATTCTATTTAAGTATATCTTATACTTGTTTGGAGACGCTTGTGTAAATGAAGCTGGTTCCTCCCAAGGAATTATTGTCGTCACCTACGTGGTAAAACTATGTCCTGCATACGTGCAACGTGCATTATATGTTCCTATATAAAGTATCGTCTTATTCGGGTAACTTTTTTCTGTCTTTTTCAATTATTTGTCCTCCAGAATTCATAAAACTATATAATTTACTATATATTTATTCACCAAATAATTTCCTACTTGCCTGGGGTATTTGCATGTTTTCAACTGATGTTTTGACATTTTCGTGAGAAGTATTTAGCCTTTAAACACCACGCTGGCTAGATATGTTGGTAAGTGTTTGTTTCAGCCGCCCATTCTGGGTCCGACACTGTTTGCGGCCGTCCACTATGGTTCAGACACCGCGGGTCGTGATTGCTACAGCGTTTGCTTTTTTTTTCTTATACAGCAGGGCGTTATAGGCCATAATGCCTGCTTTTTACGCCCCAGGATGTAACAAGTGTGTTTATGGTAACCTATCTAAGGCGAAATAAACAAATAATATGCAACTGAAAAATAAGAATTTAAACAGTTGATTTAATATTACTATTAATCTAATGACATTTATAACTGTTAAATTTTGACAATTGTTGCGAATCGAATCTTTTATTGACAAATATTCGTTTAATTTTTACTTCCTTATTTAATGTCTGTATTTTTTTTTATTTTTGATGTAGTTTTTATACACTTACAATAAACAATTAAAATGAACCAAGATCTACTTCAATAATAATCCAAGTAGAATAAAGTGAAACATCATTGGATGTCCCCTTATACGCTTAAAACACTTGTAACTCCTTTACTTAATACCCTGTAATGATGTAATTTGTAAATTAACACATTCCTTAAAAAAATTATTCGTATTTACATACTATCTCATTAACTAATTGATTTTATAATATTATGGGAAAATTTTATTAATGCTCATACAACTTATACATACCATAATTAATAATGAGAACAGTAAAACACACTGGTCTATCAACAACAACATGGCCAAAATCAAGTTTGTAATGTGGTACTTTGAAATTAGGAATTAGTTTATACTTTCGGGTGACACAATGGTATCGAAGCCGATTATAGTTGTTTTGCAGATAATCGTTAATAAACATCCTCTCTATAGCTAAATCTATTTCAACAGTAGATGGATAAGAATCCTACAATACACAAAATAATTATAAATTTAATCAATCTTACAGTTCATGTAATTTAATAATAAAATATTACCAAGTAAGTTGCTTACCCGTTCCGTATCATCATGATAATCCTGACCTTATTTGCATATATTAAAAACAGTCCTGCGGTTGTAATATTAAAACAAGTTTTTAGGTTATACATTCAAGGAATACGCGTCTTCCTGGACGTCTCTTAACAAATACCTTCTTTTTAAAACCAACTAAATAATTCGAATCTCCCACTATTTTCATGATTTTTCCTAAGTATTCTAACTCCTGTTTTTGTTTATTGTGACAAGTACTTCACGTTATTTTTCCATTCTGTGGACAACCTCAGAATCTCCCACTCAATCAACAAACAGTATTTGTCTGCAGCATCGCATCCAAAAAACCTTCACTTTTTCATAGATGCCTCGCTAAAGTCCGGCGGATTTTACTCCGTACAGCAAAACCGAAATTATGTAGCATTTAAAACTCAATGCACTCTTGCGTCTTTGCCAGTAGCATGCACGCTGTAAGCAAGCTGTTTGGGCTTAGCCTGTTTGATTCCCTTCAATACACATTAAGCAGTTTCTCAGCGTCTTCAGTCTCATTATTGCATTTGCGTTTGCTGTGTATGAATATTTATATAATAGAAAAAAAGAAATATGTGACTCCTGACGGAAACCATGACGAGAAGGTTAGTGAAAGGATTATTGGAAATGAACTGGTCACTTCTGCTAAATAAATCTCTGTAAGACTTATTAATGTCAATAATTAGGTACCCAGTGACCACTAATAAAGAGACAATAGTAGGAACCTTTATACCAGTGACGTCGATAATTCGTCAAACAACCTCATCCAATAATTCCAGCCACAATTTCGACTAAATGATTGCAGTTACTGGGCAGCCTGTAAATCAGGTAGAGAAGAGGAAATTAAGGCAATTTCATCGGCGATATCGTGACATCTTTGTATCGAAAGAAGAAAAGACCGTAGGAACTACCTTTGTTAAACATAAAATCGATACTGGTAAAGCCAATCCAATTAGTTATACGGCTTTAAGTAAATTATTTTCTATTTTTGACTTAAAAAAATCTAAATATTAGCGCTTATAAACGAGTCCAGTAGATAAAGAGAGCTTTGATCACAGGATGTGGATTATGGCAATAAAACATGATACCATTTGGACTATATAATGCTCATGCGACATTTGAAAGGCTTATGAAAAATTTGTTGTGATGATTATCTTCACATCTAAAAAACAAACCTGGTATATTTAGATGACATACTTGTTTTGTGGGAGACTTTTGAAGACGATCTAAAGAATTTGGAAGATGTTTTTATTCGAATTAAAGCTGTCCAGTCTACGTTAAACCTAAGAAGTGGGAACTATTCAATAGTAAAGTCAATTATCTGGATCGTATAGTCAGCAAAAACAGAGTGGCCATGCATAAGAGAAAAACCAAAGAAGTATTTGGGTATTCATCGCCAGAAGGAGAGTTTATCTTAGATACAGATGCAAGTAATGTGGGGATTGGAGGAGTGCAATCTCAGATCTAAGAAGAATAGGAACGAGTCCTATTTTATTAAAGTGCTTTCAAAATCTGAGCAAAATTATTGAGTCATCAGAAGAGAACTTTTTGCAGTAGTGAAATCAGTAGACCACTTCTATCAATATCTCTATGAAAGGATATTTTTAATCCGAACCGACCAGGCCACTCTTAAGTGGTTAATCTGAAAGAATCAGGAGGGTCAGATAGAAAGATGGATTAAACAGCTTTAAGAACACGATTTCAAGATTAAGTATCGGGCCGGAGTTAGCCACAGAAATGCTGATTCTCTCACTAGAAGGCTGTGATCAGCCGAGAGTTCCCACAGCAACAAAACAAAATACAGTGGAACTCTTACGACATCGGATAAATCGTAAACTAGTCCAGGCTGTGAGGCCACTCCCGTTGGGAAAATGTTTGATTCGGTTTCTTCGCGGATTCCGGTTCAAAAATGACCCCTTTAAAAAAATCTGAAGGGTGCCGAGCGAAATTTTTGGGCAGAAATTGTTTAAACAATTTTTTTAAATAAATTCCAAAAATAATATAATTTTTTTTTAATCTGAAAAACATTTTTTAGATTTTTTGGGTAATTTTAAACAAAAAAGGTTTCTTGTCATTTTTCTCTAAAGTTGATAGTTTTCGAGTTATAAGCGATTTAAAGTCTGAAAAACGCGAAAATATGCATTTTTGAGGCTTGAAAACACATATGTAAATTATTATTTTTGAGGTTACCAAGTGTCTAAATTGAAGTTTAAACATTCAACTTCAAGAGTGTGAAGAGTAATCGGGGCTTATTTTAATTTAGACCGTTGTTTTTTAATTGTTAAGTATGCGCGTACACTCGATGTTTCAGCCGCAGCGGCGCGGCGCGCTATCGTGCGCCTCTATCGTACTTATGCATAGTTTACATATACTTACACATACTTACAAATAATTATTATTTATTGAGTATATATTTATTTATATCAATTGAGTTATAATATAAATTTCGTAAAATATAAACTACATTTTATTTAAAGTCTAATAATTAATAGTTACATAAAATAATTGTACAAAAGATTGTTAAATAACACACTAATATCACTCAGTAAAAGTATCTTTGTTGTCACAAAAATCTAAATCACATCCACATAATGGTACAAAGTTGACATGATTTTTCTTGCAGTTGCAAGCATTAGTTTTGCAAGTCTTTTTGCATTTGCACGGTTTCACCAGTGTTTCTGGTAATGGGTTTTGAGTTATGAATCTTGGTAATAACCCACCACTATCAGACATATAATATCCATATTGTGTAAAATTGGGAGTTTGATAGCGAGAATATATGGCATTTCGCCAAATATATGTTTGAGCGAAAGCTCTTAACAAGTGTTGGTAAAGTGCGTCAGAGGTACAAGGTATATTGGCTAGATTAATTCCTAAGCCACATAATCTGTTAAAAATTGTTTTTCTTGCATCATTTATTGATTCTCCCATTTTGCCTATTAATTGCAAGTACAGTTTTTCTAGTGTTTTAAACTGTGTAATGTCAAACGCACTTATTCCAAACACAGAAAGTGCTCCTAAATATAGTCATTGATTATAAACCACTACCTAGTGGTAGTGGTTTATAATCAATGATATAGTTTACTAAATAAGTTTACTAATATTAATATTTACTGCATTGTATTATTTAAATAATAATTTAAAAATATTATTTACAATTGATATAAATAAATATATAGTCAATAAATAACAATTATATTGTTCAAATTTGGAAGAAGAAAAAACTATATACGGTTATTACATTGCGATGATTGATTTATTTAATTAGCCCAATGACAATAATTAATACCTACAAAAATAAATTATATAAAAAACTATGTTAATAAAAGTATTTGTTCAGATTTTTTGCGTAAGTATATGTAAACTATGCATAAGTACAATAGAGGCGCACGATAGCGCGCCGCGCCGCGGCGTCTGAAAAATCGAGTGTACGTGCATATTTAACAATTAAAAAACAACGGTCTAAATTAAAATAAGCCCCAATTACTCTTTACAATCTTAAAGTTGAATGTTTAAACTTCAATTTAGACACTTGGTAACCTCAAAAATATTAATTTACATATGTGTTTTCAAGCCTCAAAAATGCGTATTTTCGCGTTTTTCAGACTTTAAATCGCTTATAACTCAAAAACTATCAACTTTACAGAAAAATGACAAAAAACCTTTTTTGTTTAAAATGACCCAAAAAACCTAAAAAACGTTTTCCAGATTAAAAAAAATTACTTTTGGAATTTGTTAAAAAAAATGTTTAAACAATTTCTGCCCAAAAATTTCGCCCGGCACCCTTCAGATTTGTTTAAAGGAGACATTTTTGAACCAGAATCCGCGAAGAAACCGAATCAGAAACATTTTCCCAACGGGAGCGGCCTCAGAGCCTGGACTAAACAGCTTGTGCGAATCGCCTAGTAAATTCGTTCAGAGGCATAGCAGGCTGGCATAACAATAAGCTATCTTTTTAATAATTTTAAAGTCATTATCGTCTACATCAACTTATTTGATTATCGACATAAGTTTGTCATGCTTTATGCTCTTGAATACTTTTTGGTAGTCTCTAAAATGTGTTCATCATAATTAATGTCATTGAACATTTTAAATAAAACCTAAGTGATAAATAGGGATTCTCGTCTATCTAAAGCATCAAGACATCCAAACTGGCCTTGTGATACATAATTACGTTAAGAAAGGACTAATCGGTAACTCATGAGACTTACAATTCTATGTTGTAACATATTTTCGGGTTGATTGATTTTGGTAAAGTTATAGATGTTAATTTAAATTAACCCTAAGTAATTGTACCTGTCTTATAGATATCGTTATATCGTTTTATTTATTCTACGGCATTTCTCACTTTATTAAGTATAAGTGAAGAGCTTGTTGTTTTTCCTTGCCAGTATCGTTGCAGTTTTGGCGATCATATTCTAAAAAATGTTCTGCTTATTTCCTCTAGGTGTCCATTGTCTCATCTATAGATATTATTCGCTTCTTTTGATTATCTGCCTTCTTAGGTTTATAGACACCTGCTGCATCCTTGAGTTTTTTATTTAGACTAAACATCTACTAGACAGCTTGCTGCTCTAAACAAATCAATCGATCTGCATTGATACCAATCACGTAGATTCTTTAAACATAAGATCTGCCTTCGGCCAACAAATCTTCTTGCTTAAATATTTCCCTGTATTATGAGTCTCAAAATTTCATATTTTGGACCCCTCATCACGTGGCATGGGTATTCCAGCTTTCTGGTTTGTATAGTGGTGATTAGTTCTGTTTCTTTGCCAACACTCTCCACTACTTCTTTATTTGTAATTCTATCAGTCCATGATATTTTTAATACTCTGTCTATCTAATAATATTGAAAATATATATAACAGCGAATGGTACGTAGTCTGATCTCCAAATTTAGATTTT